GGGGTGAAGCAAGATTCAGGCCTTGCAGAGATGGCTGATCAGTACTCATTACAGCTTGGGCAAAATTTGTGGGTTCCTACACATGGTAGCCAGAGCACCCAAAAGGGATCACTGGGTGACATATTAAAGGATTCGGTTTAAGAATGAGAACTCAGACTGACAAATGGCCAAAGTCTTTTCTATCACCTCTCTACTTAAGAGCTTTGGGGTTCCAGAACCTGAGGTTTTCTCTTGGTCCTTCCAGAAACTCCTGGTTTCCTTTTCACCTGACCAAATGGTTCCTAAATTCCAAGGTGAGATTTCTCTTCTAAAAATCCTTTTGAGTCCGGGCCATTCCCAAAGAACCTCTGAACTAGAACTTTTCTCTGTTGTGTCTCCACTGGATAGTAAGCAACCTGAAGGCCAGAGTGGACCTGTCACCCTCTTTCACAACCACAGACACATACTCAACATGTATACATAAGCCACCAAAGAACTGGGCACACAGACTCCCCTCAATCACTATCTATTTATTTATTTTTTTTCGATATAGGGTTTCTTTGTGTAACAGCCCTGGCTGTCCTGGAACTCACAGAGTCTGCCTGCCTCTGCCTCCTGAGTGTGATGATTAAAAGCATGTGCCACCACACCTGTCTTCAATCACCAATCTTACTGTTCAGTGCCTGCTGGTCCCCAGAGAAATGCACTGGGAAAATTATGGGCTGTTTAGCCTGACACATCTTGGAATCTGGGCTTTGTCCCTTTTTTCTGTAGTGTGACCTATGGTGAGTCACTTGACCTCTCAAAACTTCATTCTCTTTATTTGTATGTAGGGAATAATGCATGGCACGCAGGAGTATGGCAAACGGTAGTAATTGATTATGGCTCACAGAGCTAGCACTGGGTCTCTGAAACTTTCCATTTTTTTTTTTGTTTGTTGTTGTTTTGTTTTTGTTTTCGAGACAGGGTTTCTTTTTCTTTTTTTTAAATAATTTATTTAATGTGTATTGGTCTTTTTTCCTACATGTATGTCTGTGTGAGCTGCCATGTGGGTGCTAGGAATTGAACCCAGGTCCCCTGGAAGAGCAGTCAATGCTCTTAACCACTGAACCATTTCTCCAGACCCAGAGACAGGGTTTTTCTGTGTAGCTTTGGAACCTATCCTGGCACTCGCTCTAGAGACCAGGCTGACTCACAGAGATCCACCTGCCTCCCGAGTGCTGGGATTAAAGGCATGTGCCACCAACATCAGTCTCACTTTCTATTTTAACACAGCCCCCCCCCCCCATGGGGCTGCTCACAGTCCACCCTCCAGGCCTGCTTTCTCTGCTCCCCTTAGAGAGCAAGTTGCTGACTCTCAGGGCTGTCCATGCCTTGCACTCCATCAGTCAATAGAGATAAATTACAAAATCATTTGTTGTATTTGTTCTTGTTACCTTGAGGGCTGTGTGAAATTGCCTTGCTTTTGAAAGCCACATTTGCATGTCTCTATGCTGGAGTCAAAGGCTGCAGCTGTGGTTTCACTGCAATTTAAATATTAATAAAACCTTCTAAACCTCTAGCTGTATTTTTTCTTTTTTTTTTTTAAACTAGTCTGGTCCTTTTGCTCCTAGGTGGCTAATATAATCTTTGTCCTTGGCTTTGTTTATTCTTAAAGGGCCATTGTGGAGTTAACTGAAGCCAGCTGCTGCAAGGCAACCTTGGAGATAAGAACCTTTTACAAACCCACAAACCTTATTTATTCTTTACAGGCCCCCAAATCTCCCCTTCTTGGAGACAGGAGGAGATACAACAAATTTTTTTAATAGGATCTTCTTCCCCTTATCTCAGCTTATGGCTTTTAGACTCCAGTCTGTTGCAGAGTTCCAGGTCCCAGGGTGGGATCTACCTACACAGTTGCTGGTTCAGTGGGTGTAGGGCAGGTCTGGAAATCTGCATACCTAAGTTCTTAGGTGATGCTGTTGCCCCACACCAAAGCCTCCATCTAGGGGGCATGTTTTGAAACCACACTACTAAGGTGTATGCTGCTGTATCATTTTGGACTCTAAATCAGGTGTTCAAAGTTCATGCCCTTTGGCCACATTAGGGACTATGTTTCTTAGGTTTTCAGCCAGGATCCCCTTCTTGGGGTTTTACAAATCTGTATCATATTTTTTGTTTTGTGTGTGTATGTGCACACAAGTGTGCCACAGGGTTCACGTGCTCAGAAGACCACGTGTTTGAGCCAGGGTTTGCCTTCCACCATGTGGGTTCTGGGGACTGAAATCAGGTCATGGGGCTTGGAGGCAAACATGTTTACCTGCTGAGTCATTTCACCAGCTCAGCTTTTTTTTTCCCCCCCTAGACAGGGTCTCCTGTAGCTCCAACTGGCCTGGAATAGTGATCTTTTGCCTCAGCTTACTAAGTGTTTAAGTTACAGGTGTGAGCTACAACTCCCAGTTTAAGCATAGGCTTTTTTTTTTTTTTTTTTTTTTTTTTGGGGTTTTTTTTTTTTTTTTTTTCTGGAATTCACTTTGTAGAGCAGGCTGGCCTTGAACTCAGGATTAAAGGCAAAGGCGTGTGCCATCACTGCCCAGCGAAGTATAGTCTCTAGCCTCAGTTGCCCAAGTGCAAACAAATAGGTGTGCATCACCTTGCTAGGTGAGGACTAACTTCCAGATTTCTCAAGCCATGCATGTTTTTGTAGAAAATAGCTGTTTCCAGTTTTAACTTTTAGCCTGCCAGATGTATCTCTTTAATGTTCCCCTGTTTTAGCATCTCTGATGCAGGGTACAGAGGCCTCTAGTTCAGACAGTTTAAGCCACTGGTGAGTGAGTCCCATTTTCTTGGGGCAGCAGGACTTCGGTGCATTTTCCTGGGCACATCTGCAGCTCCCATCACCCTGCCCTTCCTTCTCTGCCGTCCACTCCATTCCGGAGGCTGTCCTTATCTGCTGCCAGCAGCCTTCGCAGGATACACTCTAGGCAACTCGGCTCCTTCCGCCGCAACCATCCCAACACTGATTCCTTTCTTTTTCTCTTGCATGTTTTTGTGTGGATACTTTGTGCATTCCAGTTACATTTTTTAGGAGGGAGATAATCAGCCAGAATGCTCCTCTAGGCGCCCTCCCTATGCCTGCCCGATAATCCCTCTTCCCCTTCCAGCTTCTTTGCAGAATGAGATAAAAGTCAACATAGGAACCAGTTCCCAGACACTGCTCTGCCCAGAGAGGGCTGCAGATTGCAGGGTGAGAAAGTAGGAAGGCATCAGAGGTCAAAGAAGATTTACTCCATCATCAGACAGAACTTTTAATCTAGGCCAAGCATCACACAGAGCTCCCATCAGACAGGATGCACATGTGTCAGACCCTGAGACAATTATGTGACTTAAATGTGTTTCAGCTAAACCTGCTCTCACCAGGATCCCATGAGAGGCAGAGGTGTTCTGGGTGGACGTGTTCTTTCTATTACCAACAGGGTTAAGAGACAGCAGGATGAGGTCTACCTCAAGTCACAGCTGGTCCCTGGAAATGATCGTTTAGAACACTAGCACTTCTGCTTATTTCTGTCACTAACAACGAGCCACATCAATTCCCCAGTGAAGTACTCAGGGAAGTAACAGATCTGGGAGGTCTTGCCTTTCTTCTTAAAGATTTATCTTTTATTTTTATGCCTGTGGCCCGCCTATGAGTTCATGTGCACATGTGTGCAGTGTTTGCAGAGCCCACCGGGTCTCCAGGAACTGACATAATTGTGAGCTACTGTGTGAGCGTGGGGAACCAGATCCTCCACAAGGACAGCAAACACTGGACCACTGAGCCATCTCTACAGACCCTTGTTTTGTTGAGACAGGTTCTCATGTAGGCCTGGCTGACCAGGAACTGATCCTCCAAGTCTTCCACCTCCCAAATACAGGGATTACTGGTGTGAGCTGCCATATCAGGCTTTATGTGGTGCTGGGGATTGAACCCGGATTTTAGTACATGCTAGGCAAAGAGTCTATCAACTGAGCTATATCTCTAGGCCCATCTGAACTGGCATTTTCTGACAATTGAAAACACAGTCAGAAGCTGGGAGACTAACAGGAGGAGGAATGATAGCCATGACCCCACATGTGGTCTGCCCGACAGGTTGCCTTTACTGCCTCCTGCCATGGCCAGTGAAGGAAGTATTAACCCTAAATAAACTGCCTTCCTCCTGGAGTCAGGACTGATGCAAGTGGAATGAAGAATGGTGGGCCAGAAGGCAGGTTTCCTGACAGTCATTTGATAGCTGTGTAAAACCTTATAAATAAGAAACTTGTTTTTCACTTTTCAAAAAGTGATGAAATACCCACTTCAATTCATAGGCTGTGAGGAAGACTGAGACAGAATAGAGGAACCAGAGTTTGCTTCATTTTCTAACCACCATGCCCCAATATTACTTAAGTATGATACTAGGTGTGATATGGCACATGTCTCTAATCCCATCACTAGGGAGGCAGAGGCAGGTGATATCTGAGTTCAAGGCCATCCTGGTCTACAACCTGGGTTCCAGGACAGCCAGGACTAGGTAATGGAGACTCTCGTCTCAAAAACTGTGTGTGTGTGTGTGTGTGGGGGGGGGAGTCCAGCAACAAGTGCTCTTAACCTCTGAGCCATTGCTCCAGCAGTCCTTTAAAAAGTAATTTAAGGATCTTAGTTTATTATTTATTTGTTTATTTATTGGTTTTTCCAGACAGGGTTTCTCTGTGTAGCTTTGGAGCCTATCCTGGCACTCGCTTTGGAGACCAGGCTGGCCTCGAACTCACAGAGATCCGCCTGCCTCTGCCTCCCGAGTGCTGGGATTAAAGGCGTGCACCACCAACACCCGGCTAGTTTATTTTTTTTTTAACATTTAGTTAGTTTGCATGTGTATGTGTGGAAGTCCAAGGAGAACTTGCAGGAGTCAGTTCTCTTTCCCTCAAGTGGGCCCCAGGGCTTGAACTCTGGCTGTCAGGCACGGCAGCAGGCACCTTAACCACTGGCCTTTGCCAGGCCCCCCAAACAGTCATTCTTAGTGAAAGCGTTTGCTATTATTCAGTTTATTTGCAGGGTTAACAGCACAACATTTATAAAACATACTTTGTACAGTCAGGTCTCCCTGGCCCTTGCACACTGGGGGGCGAGGGAAGACCTAGTCCTTCCAATAGCTATAAACAGTCCAAGATAATGAGTTTATGAAAAATACGTTCTCTTTCTTCAGCAAACAAAATTATTTATGAAGCAGTATGGTTCAGCAATAGGAAGCAAAAGGGAAGAAATTACTTCAAAGAAAGCAACAGCTCCTTTCCTGGTGGGACCCATCATTTACAGACATGAAATATTCATATCAGAGGTCTTATATTTTAAGAGGAATGGGTTACTTAGCAGAGTTATAGCAAACACTTTGTTCATCAGTTAAGGGGTATTAGAAGGCTATCCTGGACTCTGGTACTTGAAAACCTTCATATTCATATTGAATATATTATCTGCCTCTAAACTTCCTCAGTGTCCACTGACACCCAAGGCTTGCCCACGGGCTTTCTGGTGTTCTTGGCAGGCAGGGTGGGGGAAATGGAGGTGGAGGGGAAATGTGGGGGTTGTTTGGTACTCGGTATGGAACCTCGAACCTTCAGTGCCGATTCTGAGTCAAATCACAGATCTCAAGCAATCTCCTTGAAGGACTTGAACATGAGATTTTATAAGAAACAAATTAGGACCACTAGCTATTCACTCAAGTCAGGGTCTTATACAGTAGCCCAGGCTAGCCTTGGGCTCAGGATACCCATCTCTCCCCACCAAGTGCTGTGATTATAAGCATCTACACCATGCCCAGTGCACCCCCCCCCCCATCTGATACTTATAAAATAGTAGGACGTGGAAGCGCCTAAGAGTGAGAGACGCTCCCCGGGCATGGAAGATCACTTCTTAAACTAATCATTGGGGTCCTGTGGCTCGCTGCTGTCGTGGCCATGGGTGATATTCTGTACCAGGTAGGCGTCCAGATCCCGACACCGGTAGACGGATATACTGTCCAACACCCAGTCCCACATCACCAGGTGCGCCCCACACAGCTGGTCAATCTCTGCAGACAGAACACAAGCAGAGATCGGTGTCAGATTATTCTCCCGGACCACACTCAAGCCACTCTGAGATCTGATTACAAGAGTCCCTAGGGTTAGTCAGGTGGGAGCCACACTGGTGCTCTGAAGCAACACCTCAGGATGTAAATCCTTACTCAAAAGCCAGAGGGGTGATCACTGGTAAAAGTCCAGCCTCTGGAAACTGAAATAACATGAGCTTCAACCTGCTAAAGGAGAAGCCACCAAAGAGCAATGGTGTGGAGAAATATACTAAGTGAGAAAACAAAACACCATAAGCACGGTCACCCATCCGTAAATGTACATGTACACGCACACTTTTTTTTTTGTAAAGTCAGGGTATCACTGCACAGCACTGGCTGGCCTGAACTTGACCTGTAGACCAGGCTATACTTGAACTCACAGAGATCAAACTGCCTCTGCCTCCCAAATGCAGAGATTAAAAGTGCGTACTACCACATCTGGCCTCATATATTACTTTTATAATGCAAAACAACAAAAACATCAGAAAGATGGGTAAAGGCACTTGTCTCAGAGTCTGATGTTCTGAGTTTGAACCCCAGGTTTCACATGGTGGACAGAGAAACCAACTCCTTTAAATTATCCTTCAACCGATTTTCTTTTTCGCACTCAGGAGGCAGAGGCAGGTGGATCGCTGTGGGTTCAAGGCCAGCCTCGTCTACAGAGTGAGCGCCAGGATAGCCTCCAAAGCTATAAACCCTGTCTCAAAAAACAAACAAACAAACAAACAGAATCATATTAGTCAAACGAGTAGCAGGTAGTGAATCAAACCCACCCAACAGGACCCCATATGACATAAATGTACATGTAGACACCTTACCAGGGCAGCCATTCTCTTCTGTCCAGGCACTTGGCTGTACAATCACAATTGGATGAACACCCTATATCTCCAGGAAGAAGAAAAGTATGTCAAAGCAGGGCTTTCACATATTGAAAGGACTAGAAAGAAAAGGCTTTCCTCAATACATTAACTGCTTATAGTTCCCAAGTCCTCACTCCCACCCCACAGATGAGTCTTCTGATACAAGATGTCAGGTGGAGAAAGCCCGTGGGCTACCTGTTTCATGGAAGGAGAGTATACTCCTCCCTTTAGGAAGGCCTCAAATACTCACGGTGTCAGGGGTGAGTGACGAAAGCTCCTTCACCACGGAAGCCCCACACAGCTGCAGCATCTTCTCCAGCTCATCTGCAGAGGAAGGATGTGACATCACTACCGTGATCCACAGGCTCACCTCGTGTCTGCTCCAGTCTTCTTGGGAGCAAACCTCAGTGAGCAACTTATTATTTGTTTTTAAATGATAGAAAGTCCCTAAAATTAGTATGGCTTCTAAGTTTATCTGCCACTGATATGGAGCTGCCTGCTCTGGTCATTAGTCTCCATAAAGATACTTGGTAGACATGGTTTTGTGATCTTCCAAATGAAACATGTTGAAAGAAATCCAGGACCTCATTTCCAATAATTTGCTAAATAACCAGATACTATGTAAAAAACACCTTTCCTTCCTTGCTCCTGCATCCTAATCCAGTGTTGGTAATTGATAACCACAGCCACTGAGAGCACCATTCTTGAAAATTAAACATGAAAAGATGGGAAGGTATTTCATCCAGTGTGGGTGTGTGTGTGTGTGTGTGTGTGTGTGTGTGGAACCAAAACATGTCCTTCTGGCCAGAGACCCAGCATATTGTTAAGAAAGATCACATGCTGAGCTGGAGTCCACGTATCTAGGGAGTGAATATCAGAAGAGCTTGGGCCTATGAATCAGCATCACTGACCACCCCGGGCTGCTTTGGATGGACTCTTAAAAAGGCATCCTCATACTGTTCTGTAAAGAGCACTGTTCACTCCTGAGGACTGCCTACCTGCCTGAGCTGAGGACACTAACTTAGCCCTTCTGCTAATGGCATTCACTAGAGTCCCTGGCTTTCACCATATTAAAAGTATAAAAACAAGCTGAAGCTGGGTGGTGGTGACACACACCTTTGATCCCAGCACTTGGGAGACAGAGGCAGGTGGATCTCTCTGAGTTGGAGACCAGCCTGGTCTACAAGGGCTAGTTCCAGGACAGCCTCCAAAGCTACACAGAGAAACCCTGTCTCCAGAAAAAACAAACAAAAACACCCAAAAATCAAAACCATAGAGAAGTAATTTACTGGCACTTGAAAATTTCTAAAAACCCAATCGATAACCAAGAAAAAAACGAAGCAGAATTACAATGTGGGACTATCATGCTACTACTCATTTGCTGATGGGCAGACACTAAGGCAGAAGTTTCCAACCTGTGGGTCATGACCCCTTGGGGGAAGAGGTGGAGTGACCCTTTCACAGGGGCTAATATCAGATATTTATGTTATGCTTCATAACTGCAGCAAAATCAGTAGCAAGATTAGTTATGAAGTAGCGATTAAATAATTTTATGGTTGTGGGTCACCACAACACCAGGAACTGTGTGTGTTACAGGGGTGCAGCATTAGGAAGGTTGAGAACTTCTGCACTAAGGCCTCCCTCTCCTAAGTCACAGGGCTCCAGTCCCTGGAGCTGAAGTGAAGCAGAGAAAAAGGCAGGGAACCCTTCATTTTGAAGAGAACTAACCAAATCTACACAGGGACAAGGGCCTTCGATATGCTAGAGTAGAGCCCACAGCAGTCTTCTGTTGTTAACTGTTTGAGCCAGGCTCTCAGGTAGCCCAAGCTGTTGGTGAATTCCCTATGGACTCAAGGGTAGTGCTAAGCTGCTGATGCTCCTGCTTCTACCTCCTGAGCGCGTGGATTATAGGCAAAGGTCACTAAGTCCAGCTTCATAACACATTATATTTAATATTTAATATTCACCATGACTCTCCCTTTCCTCTTGGCCTGTGCATGGCCTAGACCATAAAACTTTTATATTAAATAAAGGTAGTTTAGGAAGAAGAGAACACTTCTTGACACTTATAAACTAGACTCTTGTGGTTTGATTAATTATTATTAATTTTTTGGTTTGTGTTTTTTCAGGAGTTTCTCTGTGTAGCCTGGCTGTTCTAGAACTAACTTTATAAACCAGGCTGGCCTCAAAGATCTGCCTGCCTCTGCCTCCTCAGTGCTGGGATTAAAGGCCTGTGCCACTACCTCCTGGTAGTTTGATTGTTTTTGAGACAGGGTTCTCACTTAGCCCTTGCTGGCCTTGAACTGAAAGTGCTGGGATTAAAGGCATGTGGACTGGAGAGACGGCTCAGTGGTGAAGAGAGCTGGATTTGATTGGTCTTGCAGAGGTCCTGGGTTTGGTTCTGATCACCCACAAGGTGACTCACAACCACCTGTAACTCCTGTTCTAGGATATCAGACTCTCTCTGACCTCTGTGTGCTCCTGACACCCAAGCGGTGCATATACATATACGCAGACAAACATCCTTTCACATAAAAATAAAAATACAATTCTTTCTTTTTAAAAGATTTTATTCATTTATTATGTATACAACATTCTGCTTCCACGTATGTCTGCACACCAGAAGAGGGCACCAGATCTCATAATAGATGGTTGTGAGCCACCATGGGAATTGAGCTGGGAATTGAACTCAGGACCTCTGGAAGAGCAGTCAGTGCTCTTAACCTCTGAGCCATCTCTCCAGCCCCCTAAAAATACAATTCTTAAGCAGGGTTTCGTAGCACAGTTGTAGGTGGATTCTGAGTTTGAGGACAGCCTGGTCTAGATAGCAGGTTCCAGGTCAGCCAAGTCTACAGAGACCCTTTCTCAAAAAGAAAACAAAAACAAAATCTAAAAAAACAAAACAAAACAAAAACAAAAACAAAACAAAAAGCAAAAAACAATTACAGCAACAAAGAAGGCCTGTGTTGCCATACCTGGGAAAGGCCAGGTTGTTCTTGTCCCTGCTGCCCTTCCTTAGTCCAAGAGAGCAATGATAGATGTTTTATCTCACACAAGCACAGATACCCTGACTCTACACTGATCTCGTGGGAAAGAGGACATGCCTGGCTTTTTGTCTTAGGATGTTTATGCTCATCTGTTTGGAGAATGGTGGAGAAAAAAAACAACTCTAGAACATTTGGCCAATCTGAGAAACCTCCACATAAGATCTGTTATGTAAGAAAGGCTGGTTCTGCAGCTGCACAGCCCCCAGGCTCTTACCTTTGGGCATGTTGGTGAAGGGCTCACAACAACAGATTGTTAGGCCTTTGAAGAGCTGCAAAGAGAAGAGAGTGAGTGAAAAGAGTATGTGCCACATGTATGCAGATGCCCACGGAGGCCAGAAGAGCACACCAGAGCTGGAGCTGGGGTTACTGGCAGTTGTGAGCTGCCCAGTGTGGGTGCTGGGATTTAAAAGCAGGTCTTCTGAACGAGAAGCAAGCACTAACCATTGAGCAGCCTCTCCAGACCCTCTCCCCTTTCTGAGAGACAGGATCCTACATAGGTCAGGTAACCTCAAACTTGTAATGTAGGTTGGCTTTCACCCTTCAAATGCTGGGATAACAGGAATGCATAATTTTGCCCAGAGTTTGGGTTTTTATAAGAAATAGAGACCCCCTAAAATGGAAGAACTTTTCTTTACCACTTGACCATTCCTGTGTTCCTTCCCAGAGACAATCAGTCCAATATTCTGAACTAATTTTGGATTTTACTGAATTGTGTATAAAAGTGACCTACATTCTAGAGTCACTCTTAAAAATATATTATTAAATATGTACACACACACACACACACACACACACACACACACACACACACACACACACACACACACACGGGTGTGTGTCGTATGTCCAAGTGCCCGTGGATGTCAGAAGGTGTCAGACCTCCTGCTGCTGCTATTACAGGCAGTTGTGAGATAGCAATGTGGACGCTGGGATGAGCAGGAAGTGCTCTGAACCCGAGTCCTCTCTCTGGCCCCTATAGTCATTCTTTGCCATTTAAAGGACAAACACCCTATATCTTGTCAGCAGTCAGGTCCAGGCTCATGCTTGGTGACCCTGACAAAGTGATTTTACTTTTTGTCAGACAAGAGAAACCAAACCAAACACGCACAACCCACTGGTCCTTCTTTACATTTAGTGGCAAGAAACTCAAAGCCATTGGACAATGTTTGATGCTTATCCTGACTGGGTTCATCAGGACTAACCATGTCCCAGCTAGCAGAGCTGTCTATCTCATGTGCACACACCCCTTTTCTCTCCTGGTCAAGTGTCCCTTTGTCCCTTCACACTGCTATGATGCCATTGCATCTTCAAGTGACTTGGACATTTTATCATTTGGTGCAAAACTTTCACCCAGCTGGTGGGAACACCTGGTTTCTGATGACACAGAAACATATAAACGTATCCTAAAGGAAAAATGTAACTATAGTGCTTATCAGTGCTGCTCAAAGAAGCTTCTGTGAAAATGGAAATGTCCTGTATCTGGTCTCATAAGGTAGTGAGCATTAAGACATTTGAGGTGTTGGGCACTTGAAATGTGGCTAGTGTAAGTGAGGAAATGAACTTCTCAACTTTTCTTCTTTTTTTGGAGTTAGGGTTTCTCTGTGTAACCCTGACTATCCTGGAACTAGCTCTGGAGACCAGGCTGGCCTCAAACTCAGAGATCCACCTGCCTCTGCCTCCCAAGTGCTGGGATTAAAGGTATGCGCCACCATTGCCTGGCTTGAACTTCATTTTTAATCAAGCTTGGAACAACCCTATGTGTCTAGTAACAATTGTGTTAAATAGTACAAATTCTCATGTGTACTCTGACACGAGCTCTTAGGAAGGGTTTTAAGTTATCATTTTAAAGAAACCTAAATGTGTCAGTTATTAATATTTTCTGTTTTGATAGAGTATCTCAATTTGTAGTTCAGGCCTCAAATTCACAATCTCCCTACACCTTAGTCTTGAGTGTTGGGATTACAAAGGATTGCCACTAGGCAAAGCATGGATGGATATATTTTCTTTCTCTTCCTTCCTTCCTCTTTTTTTTTTTTTTTTTTTTTTTTTTTTTTTTTTTAAACAGGGTTTCTCTGTGGATTTTCAGGCTGTCCTGGAACTAGCTCTTCTAGACCAGGCTGGTCTCGAACTCACAGAGATCCACCTGCTTCTGTCTCTGAGTGCTGGGACTAAACTGCCCAGCCAATACTGCCCAGCCTGGATGGATATATTTTCATACATCATTTGAGTAACTCATTCTTTTGACCATCTTCCTACCTTTTTTATGACACTAAAAGAAAACTGACTAGGTTGGCTGAGCCCAAAAAATCAAGGGGCTAAAAACCACAGATGGCTCTATTGGAAACGGCTTCACCCCACATGACAGGCAGAGAAAGAGGGCAGCAGGCAAGTCAGTTATTATTTGAAATGACAGTTGCCACCTCTGCTGCTCTCCCTATCTGTATGAATAGAAGGGATCCCCAATGTGTTGACAGGACCTAGATGCTCATAAATGCTAAAAGTTCCCTCCAGGCAGCCAGTTGGAGCCAAATGCTGCCTTGAGAAATAAAAAACATTAGCAATTTCCATATCCAGGCGACACTGATGAGAATGTCTAGTTATGAGATAAGGAATCTAAAACTTCACCTCTACAAATACATTTCTTTGTGAAAACACTGCAGTGACATTTCAGTATCTTCTGAATGTCATTACTTCGCCCAAGCAGTTTCCATCACTGCTATCCTGAATGTAGGAGAAATCCCATGGCACTGACATCAGTGCCTTTGAGGAAGGAGGGACCCAGTGCTAATTCTGCATGGCCCCCAGCTGGGCAAGAACAGACGATTGACTAATAGAGAACACCTTGGGGGAAAGGGAAAAGTAGAAGTGGGGCGAGCAGCTTTTCTTGGCATCCGCAACAGTCATTTGATAGGCTCAGAGAGTGAGGATGGGCTGATCCCCAGGGTTCAGAACTCCAGGCTTGGTTTGTGATCCCATCCAAAGCAGTTTTCCTTAGGAAAACCACCCTCACTGGTATCCTCTCAAGTTTCTGTGGAGGAACAGAAGGTTCTCCGCATGGGAGTGTTCTGAAACACCTGCTGGTGCACACTTGAAAGAGAAGAAAAGCAGCCTGGGAACACAAGCGCTTATCCAGTAACCTGGGGAAGCAGTTGGCTCAGGCCTGCCAGGCAGGTGTGAAAGCTTTCAAAGACTTCTTCCTTCAAGGAGGATGCAGTTCTGGCTGCACCATCTGTTACAACATGCTGGAGAAAGTCAAAGAGTCCTGCTCTTGCTAGCAAAGTTGTTGGCATAATCTGTTTTTTTTTTTTTTTTTTTTTCCTGTGAAGCCACCTATAACTTGGGAGTTTAGATTTGAAGCTCAAGTGCCTGGATTCAATTTCTTCTATCACTCAGTATCTAAGTGACCCTGGGGAACTTAACCTCTCTGAACCTTAATTTCTCATATGTAAGATAAGTGATATATTCTCTTATATTCTCTCTCATAAGTGAAATATAAGTAGTAATAGTACACACATCACAGGGATGTAAATTGTTGATTATGAAGCATTTCCTTCCTGTGTTCACAGGTTGTACCATGACCCCATGACCCTGCTCACAGCCCTTACTCAGAGAAAAGACCCTGGGGAAGCAAGAATAGCAAAAAGTGTGTGTGTGTGTGTGTGTGTGTGTGTGTGTGTGTGTGTTTAGAGACAGGGTTTCTTTGTGTGGCCCTGGATGTCCTGGAACTCCTTCTATAGACCAGGCTGGCCTCGAACGCTCAGAGATCTAACTGCCTCTGCCTTCCTACTGCTGTAATTAAATCCATGCACCACCACCACCCTAGACTCACATCTTTGAAATCTAAATTCTACCACTACCAGCTGAGATCTAACTCTCAGACTGGAGTCCAAATTATTCCTGCATTCTAAGCTTTATGTTCTCTTCCTTATGGGGCAGAAGCAATTGTTGTTCTCTACCGCAAAGCCAGTGCACAGTCCAAGCATGCAATGTGCCTCACCAGATAAAGACCAGTCTCACCTTAGCAGCTGGCTGCAGAGCCCTAGGCTAGGCTTTCTGTCATACATGAGAGGGGCTTTACCTTTTCCTGGGATTCTCTGGATCGCTTTGGACCTTGGTGGTTTCTTCCAGTCACAACATCTCCTCTGACTTCAAATTCATGCTGAAACCAAACACAAAACCTTTTATTTAGTTATTTAGTTATTATGTGGCACACCTGTAGGCATTAAAGCCCAACTTGCAAGGCTGGCTCTCTCCAGCTACCCTGTGGATTCTGAGATTTGTATTTGGGTTATAAGGCTTGGCAGCTAGTGCCTTCACCTAAGTCATTTCCGACAACCCCAATGCGAATCTTTGTTGAAATTACCAATCGGCTTTCATCTCACTGGAACTTGATTTTTTTTAAAAAGTATTTTAATTTCTCACATCTATCTCTTCTTGAAACATTCACTTAGCATTTAGATTAAACCACTAGCACTGTGCTGTTATAAGGATAACTGGAGGATTCTAGATCATTTAAATCAATTGTATATTGTCAGCTGAAGAGATCAGGGCTTTCAGAGTTTTGTGGAGAGATTTATAGCTAATGAAGTCAAAATAATAAATGGGGCCAGTGAGATGGCTCCACAGGTAAAGGTGCCTGCCATGAAGTCTGACAACCTGAGTCCTAACCCAGAACCCAAACCCAAATTAAGGTAGGAGATGCTACCAAGTTGTCCTGACATCCACACACAAACGAAGGCTTCCATACACCACACACACACACAGACAGACACACACACACACAGACACACACACACACAGACACACACACACACAGACACACACACACACACACACAATTTAAAAGATAAAACTGCACATTTTTCAGTCTAAAGAAACGCTGATGTTTTTCATAGTTAACTATTTTGATAAGCAGAGAAAGGACAATGGGCGAGGGAATTTGGAGCTTTGGGGAAGAATGCTTGGACGCCATTGCGAGGGAAGCTCAGATGGTAAGGATGAGGGGCCACACGATAGGAGGGAGCCAACTCCTGATGCCGGCAAGTTGTCCTCAACCTCCACACATGTGCCAAGGCACACACCTTCCCACCATCAATAAAGAGTCAAGCAAACCCCAAAGGAGAAACCATCCCCGTGAAGCGTCCAGTTGTCCTAAAAATAAAATCAAATTCTCACCGTGGCTTAACACAAACTCTTTCCAGATCTAGTCCTTGTCTCTGATTGCTCATCTCTCATCTAACCTGTGCTCCCCACACAAAATTCACCAACTTTCTATCTCCAAATACAGTGGTCTGTTTTTCTTTAATAAACCAAGCTCATACCAGGTGGTGGAATTGCACTCAGGAGGCGGAGGCAGGTGGAACTCTGTTTTTGAGGCCAGCCTGGTCTCCAGAGCAAGTTCCAGGACAGCCAGAGATGTTAGGCAGAGAAACCTGATGTTGAAAAACCAAAAATCAGCCGGGCTTTGGTGGCGCACGCCTTTAATCCCAGCACTCGGGAGGCGGAGGCAGGCGGATCTCTGTGAGTTCGAGGCCAGCCTGGTCTCCAGAGCGAGTGCCAGGATAGGCTCCAAAGCTACAGAGAAACCCTGTCTCGGAAAAACAAAAAAAATACAGTGCTCTACCTGTATGCAAATGCCATCCCTGCATAATCCAGATCTTTACACTTCCCGTTCCTACATGAGTTGTTCTCTACATTTTTTTAAGATTTATTTATTTATTATGTATAGGTGTTCTGTCTGCATGTGTCCCTGTAGACCTGAAGAGGGCACCAGATCTCATAAGGGATGGTTGTGAGCCACCATGTGGTTGGTGGGAATTGAACTCAGGACCTTTGGAAGAGCAGCCAGTGCTCTTAACCTCTGAGCCATCTCTCCAGCTCCACTCTTTTTTTTTTTTTTTTTTTCAAGACAGGGTTTCTCTGTGGCTTTGGAGCCTGTCCTGGAACTAGCTCTTGTAGACCAGGCTGGTATCGAACTCAGAGATCCACCTGCTTCTGCCTCCCGAGTGCTGGGATCAAAGGCGTGCGCCACCAACGCCTGGCTACATTTTTAAAAGACAATTCTTTCTTGTTATTTAGGTGGCAGCTCAGTCCTTTCACAAAGACTTTGCCTGGCCTCTGTAACTGAGGTAGGTAACTAGACTCCAGACAATTGCTAGTCTGTTGTCCATCAAAGCATTTATTAGTATATGAAATTCACCTATTTATTGTACATCTCCCCTTACTAGGGAATACATCATTCCAGAATAGGGACTTGGTCATTCTTGTTTACTCTGGTATTCCCAGTAAATGACATTTGGTAGGCTCCCAGTAAATGGTCACTAAATGAAATTAAAATAAAAAGTTTCATTTAATTAATTATGAATATACTGAGTAGTATACAATAATTTTAAACAGATTTCACTGATTTTGTTTTGTTTGATCCATCATCATCATCAATCATCATCAATTCTTGGCTGTTCTAAAATTATTCTTCCTCTTACATGCTTACCATATTTACTTCTCATTGTTCTTAGCATCATAAAAAAAAAGCAGCATTTCTTGGAAGGAAACCAATTTTTAAACATAGATCAGCACATCAATGGTCCCCCCATTGAGGAAAAGATGTCTACTAAAGGGAGAAAGCAACACCAATGCTAAGGCTTTCTGATTAGTTGGTATAAACTACCTACCACACTCAGAAGTTTTCTTTCTTGAATAGACTGAATCACCCCTGGAGAGAACACAGAAAAGGAAAGTCACGCAGAGCAGAACCATGCGTCCCTTTGTGGAGGTGGGAAGTTCAGTGGTTCACAAGAGAGTGGACTCTTTAATAAGCCTGTGGCAGATCTTTCTGGAGACAGCCTATGTTTAATTTAAACATTACAAAAGTGCTGCTGTACGTGGATTCCTGTCTACTATAAAATGAATCCCTCCCAGTTCATGTGCTAACCCTGCTAAGAGAAGACCAGGTCCTATTAGAAATCCATTTTCTATCTGAACAGAGCCATATGCATTTAAAGACAAAGCTAGCTTTATGTTAAAGACCTTTTGGTAGCGCAGACTTAGCATCAGCAGAAACCTCAGGTGTTAAAATGCAATTCTGAGGTGTTAAAAGGAGGAGCAGACACACTGCACTGTACTTACATGAATAGCTAACTATCCATTTTCCTCCTGCAATTCCCAGAAAATATTTCAGTGTCCGTTCACACACAAGCTCAGCATCTGCAGAATGAAACACAGCCAAACGGTTAGAAAGACAGAAGAGGTGCTGCCCAAGAAGCTGGAGCCCAGCTCTTGCTTGCAAGACCAACCTGGAGCGGAGACTCCAGTATCCTTGAGATAAAATCAGAAGCCAGAAGCACCACTGATGATAACCAGCAGGGATGGGTTTTGGAAGCGTGGAAGAGGCAGATGCCATGTTAAGACCAGAGGAACTGTCGGTCTCAGCTTTGAGATGCCAAGGCTAGAGTTGTAGCCTATGTTAATTGGCACCAGTGATGAATGCGAGCAATTTACTTTACCAGACCGAAATATGTGAGGGAAGAAAATAGTGTTGGAAGTTCTCAATTTGAAAAAAAAGAAAAAAGACCCTAAATTAAAAATGCCAATGTGACAACTTCACCCCTGCAGTTCCTCCCTGGGGACCCTGACCCCCTTGTATTCCCGGAGGGACAGGAAAATAGTCTCGTCATAGCTATTCTCTTTCCTATGTAGGTATTTCAATAAGCAGTAGCTGAAGAATCTGTTTATTGCCTAGTGTTTCAAAGGCCCCTTTGAAGAACTAAGCAAACTGAGAAAAACCCATTTCAACAGGAGAAATGTATTCAACTAAATCCCAAACACAGCAGGCCATCTGCAAATAGTGGAAGTGGCCATTCTGCCTTACAGAATTCCTCATAATTTTTGAAGCTGCTTGTTTAAATGCTATAAAAGCTGATTTTAGTTCACAAGTAACAAATGCTGTATTGCCTTTGACTTCAAAGAGCTACTTTAGACTTAATTTGTATTTTAAAGCTTTCTTTCACCCTTTATCACCATTGATTCAAACCTATTTCTTAAACTATATTAAAATTTAATGACACTCTTCTCTCAAATAATACTTAGCATGCCATATCCTGTTCTGGCACCTGATTCTAATGAGCACTGACCTCTGATACAATTTTCATGCAGGGGAAACCTAGTTTTAGCAGTCTTAAGGCAAGGAGTCAAAGAGCTTTGGACCCTGTGGTGAAGCTGAGAGCTCTGTGACAGTTTGAATGTAATTGGCCCCCATAATCCCAAAGGGAGTGGTACTATTAGGAGGTGTGGCCTTGTTGTAGAAAATGTGTCACTGTGAGAGTGAGCTTTTGAGTTTTCTTGTGCTCAGGATGTACCCCCCCCACTGTGTCTCAGACCATTTCTTGTTGCCTTCAAGATGTAGGACTCTCAGCTACTTTGCCAGCACTGTCTGCCTGTGTGTTGCCATGTTCCCCACCTGAACTGTAAGTGAGCCACCCCAATTAAATGTTTTCCTTTATAAGAGTTGCTGTGAGCAAGGGGTCTGTACCAGGTTGGAGAAACCCACAGAAACAGTTGGCCTGAAAAAGGGAAAGCATATCGACCCCAGACGCTCTTTGGGAGGCCAGTATGGGACTAATCCAGCCCCCTGATCATGGATGCCAATGGGGAGGCCCCTGCACTCCTGGGAGCCTCTGGAGGTGGACTGGCGTTTTGCCCTGGTGGGTGGAGGGGACTTTGAGAGCCCATCCCACTTGAAGTGATGCGCTCTGTCTCTGAACACATGGGGAGGGGCCTAGGCCCAGCACAGGAAGATTTGGTGGACTTGGTGGAGCCCCGGTTGGGGGCCCTACCCTGCCTGGGGAGTGGTGGGTGGATGGGGTGGGGTGAGCTGGGCGGGGGTGGCGCACGCTTTTGATCTCATCACTCAGGAGGCAGAGGCAAGCAGATTTCTGTGAGTTTGAGGCCAGCCTGGTCTACAAAGTGAGTTCCAGGACAGCTGGGGCTGTCACACAAAGAAACCCTGTTTCAAAAAACAAAAACAAAACAAAACAGAGTTGCTCTAGTCATGGTGTCTCTTTACAGCGACAGAAACGCTAACTAACACAAGCTTTAAGGACAAAAATATCCCAGAATGGGCAAGCATACACCAGAAAACCAAAACCAACTGTTAGCAAGGCGTTAGAGTATAGTCATAATTTGCACCTCCCACATCCCCATGCAGTTTTCTGACTTTCTGAGCCTTATAATAATTCTTCAGATGCTTAAAGATGGATATCTCAGCCCCTTGAGTCTTCTTATTCCTTTTCCTCTGCCAAACATTCCTTTTACTACAAATTTTTTTTTAGATTTATTTTTTACATGTATGTTTGTGTATCACATGCATGTCTGGTGCCTGAAGTCACGGGTATTGGATGCTCTGGAACTAGAGTTACAGATGGTTGTGAGTTGCCATGGGAGTGCCAGGGATCAAACCCAAGGTCCTCTGTAAGATCAAGTGCTCTTCACCACTGAGCCATTGCTCCAGCCTTCAAACATTATTTTGAGTTTCTCCCCTCTCTTTTCTTTTGAGACGGAGTTTCCATGTGTAAAATCCCTGACTGTCCTTGAACTCACAGAGATCTGCCTCGAGAGTACTGGAATTAAAGGTGTGTGCCATCACTGCCCAGCCTCTCTGGGTTTATTAGTTGCCACAGTGAAAACACTGTTCAGCACAGAGAGTATCAACTAAACAGTCACTCCAGCAGAAGATTCAAAGGCTTCTTTTGCTATGTATTTCAGGCTCTCATAAATGCTCTGAAATGTATTCACAGATTTTACAGTCAAATAAAAACTCCCAGGGGTATTTTCTACAGGCACAATTAAGACTGAAAAAGGAGAAAGCCCATGACACATGAGTGGTTCCACTCTTTGTCCTTTCCATGTTAAGGTTATAGGGCACATACTCAGCCACTCTCAAGACAGGATCCACTGAGTGAGTGGAATATACTTCCACCCTGTCCTCTCTTTGTCTTACTTTTCTCTTCCATGATCTGGTCTCTGTTCTATACCCACCGAACTCCAAGCAAGTACACAGGAAGTGGTTCAACAGCTCATTTTGCCACTCCCCAAATTTTAACCCAACCTAAGGTCATATATGATTACTGTTTACGAAGGAATAACTGACCGACTATTGGGAGACTTCATCCATGGCATTCTTAAACAAAGACAGGCTCAACACTATGATCTGAAATGCTAGGCCAAAAAGTATTGTTTTTTGAAAATTTGCATATATATGAGACATCTTTCATGCATAGCACAAAATCCATTTTTTTGTTGTTGCTTGTTTTGTTTTTTGAGACAAGGTGTTTCTTTATAGCCTAGGCTGGCCTTGAACTTCTGATCTTTCTGCCTTCATCTCCTGAATGCTGCGATCAAAAGTTTGAGTCACCAGAGCCAACTTAATGTTTTGTTTGTTTGTTTGTTTGTTCATTTGTTTTGAGACAGGGTTTCTCTAATAGCTTTAGAGTCTGTCCTGGAACTCACTTCGTAGACCAGGCTGGCCTCAAACTCAGAGATTGATTCCCTAGTGCCGGGATTAAAGGTGCATGCCACCCCCACCCAGCTTGTTTATGTTTTATATACATAACCTGAGGGTAATCTTTTATTTATGGTGCTAGAGACTACCCAGAGCAGTGGTTCTCAACCTTCCTAATGCTGTGACCCTTTAATACAGTTCCCTATGTGACAATCCCTAAGCATTAAGCTTGGTGATACTCTTCCACCAGGCTACATCTACAAACCCCAAAGGCAATTTTACACAACATGCTTCCTATGCCTACATCTTGACTACGAACCGTCACACGAAAAGGAGAAATTTCTACTTGCAATGTTATGTCCATATTCAAATAGTTGTAGATTTTGAATTTTTGGATTAGGGATGCTCAACTTGATTTATATGGCTCTTAATGTGATTTGAGATAAATGCAATATAGTCTGTAAAGGTTTGTAGTGTACCTGTTTTCATAATGACATGGGTAGTCTCCTCAGTAATTGCATCAGTTAAAGTGAGGCGGTATTTTTCAGCAAACTTTTGCACAATCATCTGAAACAAAAATCAAACATTAAATGATGTTAAGTTAGAGGCTGGAGAGAGAGCTCAATGGTTAAGAGCACTGGCTGCTCTTTCATAGGACCCAGGCTCAATTCATAGCATCCACATGGCAGCTCACAACTGTCTGTAACTCCAGTTCCAGGGGATCTGGGATTCTCACACTGACGTACATGCAGGCAAAACACCAACACACATAAAATAAATAAAATCTTTAAAAGTTATGCTAATTTATCTCTGGCAAACAGCTTAGAGCATTATTTTAACTAAGTATCCACTCTCAGAAAAGGCACATTCTAAAAATGATTTAAATATTGATTGTGTGTTTGTGAATATACTTGTACTGCAGTGGGAATGTGTGGTCAGAGGACAACTGTGGAGTTGGTCCTCTCCTTCCATTCTCTTGTGTGTTTTGGGGATTGAACTCAGGTTGTCAGACTTACACACAAACACCTTTTCCTGTTGAGTCACCTGGATCATCCTGCCCTGGGTTTTAAAAATATAACATGGTTGAAGTCTCAAAATTGACAACTTAATAAAAACTATGTATAAATCAGCCAGGCATGGTAGCATACACCATTAATCCCAGCACTTGGGAGGCAGAGGAAGGCAGATCTCTATGAGTTCAAGGACAACCTGGTCTAAAAACTGAGTTCTAGTCCAGCCAGGGCTACACTGGTAGAAGTAAACAACACCCCACCAAGCAAAGAAACAAAAAAACCTCAAATCCATATATACGTCAGAGAAAGACATTCTAATGCAGTCTAATGTAGTACCAGAAGCCAGGGAATTACAACCAAATGTCATCTAACTTGGTTCTCTGAGTTTCTTTGCAGAATGACAGACCACCATCCTGTAACTGAGATTTTCAGCCTACATCTCATAAACTGAGTGGTAACTAGCCTTACATAGAAAGGATACACACACACACACACACACACACACACACACACACACACACACACACACCTTAAAACCAAGACTCAAGTCTGATAGTTACAAAGCATTCAAATGAAGATATTTGTAGTTAATACACCATATCAATTCTTTCTTAAGGAAAAATATTGGAAGAGACTCATTTTTCCCAAAAGAAATCTAGAGTCCCTTAGCTATTATCTATCAAGCAAATAAAAATCAATAGGCAATAAAATAAATTAACCTGCTCCATTATGGCATAGTTGACATAACAGGTAGCTACTGTTTGGAAATAAACTTATTTACTGGGGAGCATCATTTTCTAGCCCTCAGCACCCATGCAAATATTTATGTGGCCCTGAGTACTGCAATGGAAGTCAGCTGCCTTTCTTGCTGCCTCACTCCACACTGCTACTGAGCACTGGCAAACCCAGCGGGCTGGAGAAGCTAAGCCCCCCCCCCCCTTTTGCTGCTGCCCTCTGCCAGTGTCATTAGCAATTCTGAACTGGTTAATTGCTGAAATCCCAGCCTTAAAACAGTGTTCAGTTAGAAGAGCAACTGCTGAAAAGATCATCTTAATACGGGCTTCAGAATTAATCATGTGTAATACAGTCAGTGGCTTTCATCATAAATTTAACACACTTCAGCAAATCTCAATAGAGCTCAAAGTTTTCCTCTTTGCTTGTTTAAAGAAAACATGTACCCAAGCCACTTGTAGTTTAATCTGCACCTCAGAATTGCCCAAGGCAAAAATGATTAGACCACTACAGCTATCTCTAAAAAGCTGAACTCACAAAACAAAGGAACAATGAATACAAATTTTCAGTGAATAAATGGGAATTCTGGATGTGTAGGCAAGTCCATCAAGAGCTATTTAAACAAACACAGGTAAGAATTTTCAGAGCAAACTGCTGGCTGAGCATGGGAATATGAGGTGACATCAACAGTTATTATTCTGTACTTATACATTGTATCTATCAGGGCAGACAAAGCCTGCTTTGCCTTTTCAAGAGTGGGGACACAGAGGGCCACCGAGAATTTATGCAGAGTCACTCACTACCTGTAGAGCCATTAGGATGGGGAATGGTGCCTGGCCTATGAAGACTCTATTAAGCGAGACACTTCAGAATGATTTAGTTGCCTCTCAGTGTGCAATAAATGGCATCTACTATTAAATCCAACGGATAGTCAGGTATGTTATAGTATTTTAAAGAAATATACAATTATTTCATTATAACAGTTAATTATAGGAGAAATAATTTTCCCAGAATGCTTGGAATCTATAAGCAGCTTAAAAAGAAGCATGGGCTTCATGTTTCAATGCGTATGAAACAATTCCCATTTCTGGCACCAGGGACCAAGGAGGTGCCCAAACTCTAATAAGCAAGGGCTGTCAAGGGCAGAGAGGAGAGAGCAGGGTATTGAAAACACTGTCTTACCAGGCAAGATAAAGACAAACAGACCCTGGAGAAATGCCACTGTCTGGCAGTATCATCAGAACCAGCCTGCATTTAGTCAGAAGCTGCAAAGTTTCCTTAGATGTGAACCCAGGAAGGAAATCATACCTCTTGGAGAGAGGTGCTCTATCTAGTTACCCTTTTTTTTTTTTTTTTTTTTTTGATAATCCAAAACCAGTACCATACCCAGCAAGGTGCCTAGTATTAAATAATTACTTCCTCAGATAGATTTCTTCCTAGAGGTTATTCATTGCTAGCACATCTATAGTAGTCAAGTCAAGTCCCAGTGACTGTAGAGATAATTATGAATACACTCACTACTTCTTTGGGGGTCAAGCCTGACACCACCATGGATATTCCTTTATTGGCTCTTCCTTTTGAAGATGTCAATTCTGGCTTTTTCTTGCTCACAGTTTCTATCACTGCAGTATGAGCATGAGTAGCAGCCGGACTCTCGAAAGAGTCAGAAACCTGATACTGGGATATTGTCCGTGCAGAGGTTGAAGCTGGTGTGGTGCAAACATAAGCTGGCTCTTTAGGGGACTCAGATTCAGGGTCTCTATTAGAGAAAAGGCTGATTCCAGATTCCAGGTATGGCGTTCCTTCTGCAAGGAAGAGAAGTTTAACTTAAGTGGCAATAAATGTTGAATTCTTCTTTGTGAAGAACTAAAAAGACCCATTAAGTCATGCTACGAGGACACTCTGTTGGTTAAAGCATGGTGCCTTAACTTCTCTAAAGAGTAATATGACACCATATACATACATACATACTATATATATATATATATATATATATATATATATAGAGAGAGAGAGAGAGAGAGAGAGAGAGAGACAACCCAGGGCTGGAGAGATGGCTGCTCTTCCAGAAGACCCAGGTTTGGTTTCCAGAACCCATATGGTAGCTCAAAACTGCCTCTAACTTTAGATCCAGGGCATCCAACACCTTCGTCTGGCCACCATGGGCAGCAGGCATGAATTTGGTACACAGACACACATGTAGGCAAAACACTCATACACATAAAATAAAAATAAATAAAACTTAAAAAAAAAAAAGGTTTAGTGATAGGATGTGTACTGCAACACTACAACTCTGTTTATAACAGTATAATTTTAGAAATGACTTAAATGTCAATGAGATTGAGTAGGAGGCTGAATTCATGCCAAGCTTGGAAGAAAGTGTTTCTACCTGCTCAGACATCTTTTTTTTTTTTTTTTAAAGATTTTTTTTATTTAATATGTATACAACATTCTGCTTCCATGTATATCTGCACATAGAAGAGGGCACCAGATCTCATAATGGATGGTTGTGAGCCACCATGTGGTTGCTGGGAATTGAACTCAGGTCCTCTGGAAGAGCAGTTGGTGCTCTTAACCTCTGAACCCTCTCTTCAGCCCCTGCTCAGACATCTTACGGGCCTACCCATTAGATTTTACATTTTGAATATAAGTGTTTATATGCAAAGATGGTTCTAACATGTTAAAGAGGATAGCTAAAAATACTTATTAATATACTTGCTGTGTGTGTATAGTCACTCACACTTCTGTTTATTTACTTACTTATATGCTGTATGTGTGTGCATGTGACGTAGAATAAGAAGGTAACTTACAGGGCTTGGTTCTCCCCTCCCACCCTGTGAGGCCACAGATGGTACTCACAGGTCATCAGACTTGGTGGCAAGTGCCCTGACCTGAGAAGCCATCTTGCCAGTCCAGAAATATTTACTGTGGTCAGGCCTAGTGGCACAGGCGTATAAGCCCAGCTACTCCAGGCTAAAGTAGGAGGATCACAAGTTCAAGGCTTACCTGGGCTATATAACAAGTTTAAAACTATTTTACTTTAATTGATTGAACTCCAGGTGAAGCAAACCTCTAAGTCAGTTACTCAAGTAACTCAGACTACAGACATATAAATATCACATTTATAACTATATCCTAAAAATAAAACTCTGAGTAAACTAACTAAAGAAGCCTGCAGTGTTGGCCCACACCTTTAATCCCAGCACTCAGGAGGCAGAAGCAGATGGATCTTTGTGAGTTCGAGGCCAGCCTGGTCTACAAAGCAAGTTCCAAGACAGCCAAAGCTCTTAATTTATATTCATTAAAAATAGATCACTTTGGGTTGTGACTTATTTTCCAGTAAAGGACAGACATGTAACTTTATTCTAGGGTCTTACAATTCTAACAGGTGAAGCAAAACATGTAGATGACTAACTAGATCTTCAAAATTATTAGTAATCCACTACGGACAGAGTCACTGAAGGGACACTCGCCCACTTGGACATGTGGCTCTGGCAGGCCTTGCCCTTCTCCCCATTCCCTCTGCCTTGCTAAACACTGTTGCATTACACTACTAAAGCTAGCCACCAAGGCCTATTCCCTTTTTTGGCCATTTCCCCCTCCTGAGGCTGACTACAAAGGTCCAGTTATTTAAGCAATCGGCATTAAGATGCCGATTAAAATAAAAAAAATTAATTAAAATTTTAAAATTAAAAAATTAAAATTAACATGCCCAATTAAAATTAAACACCTCATCCTGATGTGGGTTTCCTACTTTTCCTTTAAAAACCACCAATTGCCTATGTGCCACTTCTGTCCCCTCTCTATCCAGAGGCAGTCCTTTGTCGCTCAGGGACAATTACCCTGCCCTTTACCACCACATCCTAGCCCATTCTAACACAGTCCTCCCCTTTTTCTCCTCTTAAAATGACACTGTAAGGTCATTTGCTGCTGGTTTCTGCCTGAGTCAGAAAGCAATCATGGTAATTTTTCTTCCCTGCTTAATACAGGATCTTCCTGTGAAAATAGGTGTTTAGGTATGTGCCTAATCTGGGGTCCAAGAGGAAGTGGCTGCTGTTAGGGGTCTCCTTCACTTACAGCTGTAATAATTTTCAAGTAACTCAGATTGTAGCTCAAGTTATTTTTCAAGAGTGTACTCTTGAAACTTTTTCAAGAGTATGCAGGATACAGAGTGAAACAAGTGTTTCTCCATTAAAATAGATGAAGCATTTAACTAGATCTTGCCTTGGCAAGCAAGATGGTCCTGTTAAGTTGTGCTGCTCACCTGACTTCCCTGCTTCAACAGTCCAAAGGAGCTCCTCTTGAGATGGGCAGTTTCTGTTTTGAAGACTCCCAGAGCGGCTGTGTGCAGAGCACCTACTGCCTGCCAACGGAGATTTAAAAAGGGAAGGCCTGGAAAGATAGATGCAAGAAGAAAACCATCACCACCAATTCGGAAAAGTCTAATCATAACTCCTCAGCCGCCTAAGCGTAAGTGAAACACCAGCCAAAAGAGGCCACACGACAGCTCAGGAGCCTGGATTTGTGCTGCCTGCTGTCAGCTGACACCTCCTCTTCAGGGCTGGTCTGAGGCAGTATATTTCCGGGGTGTTTAAAAGCATGTCAGCATTTTTTCGCCCAAATTACCCACTGATGCTAATTCAGAGTCTATACTATTCTACCTGAGTCCAAATGCATGTTAGGCCTCTAATGGCGATAGAAAACTAAGCAGTGCTAACATCTCCACATTTTATTTCTACTTAATTTGAGGAGAATTTATAGTTTCATCCTTATTCCCCACACTTTTAATGTCCAAAGTCATTCTAAGACAAGAGGCTGAGCTGGAGAGATGGCTCAGCAGTTAATAGCACCTTTTCTTCTTGCAGAGGATCTGGATTCAAATCCTGGCACACACATGGTGGTTCATAACTGTCCATAACCCACATGAAGGATATACATGATACAGACATACATTTGAGCAAAACACTCACACATTTAAAAAAAAAAAAAAAAAAGCCAGGTAGACTGAGAGTCTACCTTCTGAGGCAGAAGCAGACAGAGTTCAAGGTTATTTTTGCTATATAGTAAGCTCAAAGCCAACCTGGAAAAAATGTACAAAAATAAGTGCAATCAAAAAACAAAAACAGGGCTGGAGAGATGGCTCAGAGGTTAAGAGCACCGACTGCTCTTCCAGAGGTCCTGAGTTCAATTCCCAGCAACCACATGGTGGCTCACAACCATCCGTTATGAGATCTAGTGCCCTCTTCTGGTGTGCAGATATACATGGAAGCAGAATGTTGTATACATAATAAATAAATAAAAATCTTTAAAAAAAAACAAAAACAAAACCAAAGCCGGGCGATGATGGCGCACGCCTTTAATCCCAGCATTCAGGAGGCAGAGGCAGGCGGATCTCTATGAGTTCGAGACCAGCCTGGTCTACAAGAGCTAGTTCCAGGACAGCCTCCAAAGCCACAGAGAAACCCTGTCTCGAAAAACCAAAAACAAAACAAAACAAACAAACAAAAACACAACACAATATAACCCAACCATTGGGGCAGACACATATTTCAAACACTTTGTGTAAAATACGGGAAGGCCTGCATTTGATCCCCACCATCACACCCCTTAAAAAAGTCAATGATTAGAGGGCTGGAGAGATGTCTCAGAGGTTAAGAGCACTGACTGCTCTTCCAGAGGTCCTGAGTTCAATTCCCAGCAACCACATGGTGGCTCACAACCATCTGTTATGAGATCTGGTGCCCTCTTCTAGTGTGCAGAATGTTGTATACATAATAAATAAAATCTTAAAAAAATAAAGTCAATGATTAAATGTTAACGCATGTGTCCACTAAGTAGTTCCTCCATTCTTTTGAGTGTTTATGACTTAGTATGCCAAGTTGATAATGACCACTAAATGTGGCTTTGGTGTCCAAGGAAATAGATCTTTTCATTTTTTTGTTAGAAGCATAATTCCAGTACCTTAGCCTTAAAAATAAATCTTTAATTAAGTCCAGGGCCAGGAAAAGATGGCATTGTTAGATTACTAACAACCTCTCACCATTCTCCAAAGGAGTTTATAGACAAATAAACATAGAAAACAAGAGTCCCTTTGTTTCCTGGAAGGTGAGTTGCTTATCCTCATATGTTTAAGTAGTTCTGAAAATAAAAGCAGCGTGTGGTGATACCTGCCTGTAATTCCTGAATTCAGAAGCCAACTTGACAGTCTTATGTTTTTTTTTCCTATACAGCTTTTAGCAATAGTGACTTAAATATATATCCTGGAACGGTATTCTGAATATTTCCCAGAGCAAAATAATAGACTTTTTCTAGGAAGGCAAAAATTTCACTTAGGTCAATGTCTGTCTGGAGATGTTTATGGTCAGCTTCCAGGCATATTTTGGTTTTAGTTCAGTTGCATTATAGTCTGACCTTTAAAAGACAAAAAGATCTAAGTGCTTATTTCTCAGGCTGTAGCTTAAGCCTTGTATATACCCAAAAGCCTATATCCAAATAAAGAAAGCAGTGTGACCCAGGGTTATTTAGTGTCTGTAATTGTGCACACACAATGTTTCAAAGGCTGAAGGAGAATCGCTGCAAGTTTGAAGCCAGCCAGGTCAACAATGGGGGCTCCAGACCAGCAAACATGATCCTATCTCCAAAAACAAACAAACATTTCGCCAGGGAGGGCAAAATGAACATTATAGGCACAAGGGTGCAGGCAGAAGGCAGAGATTGACACTCAGTATCCAACCTGATTTTTCAGTACCTTATTTCTGAGACAGGGTCTCTTAGGAGCTAACCCATTTAGATATACAGATTGGCCTGTCTTTAGTGCTGTTGTGTCTCCAGAACTGTGATTATAGGTTTGTGTTAGTGCCCTTGGCATTTTTTTGAATGGATGTAGGCATGTATGTGTGTGGGTATGCTTGCCTGGGTGGGTGAGTGTGGAGGCCAGAGGATGTCTACCAGTCAGGACTACTACCTCTATGGCTATCTACCTATCTCTCACTGAATCTAGAGCTCACTGAACCCAGGACCTGCCTGTCTCTGCCCCTGCCCCAGGAATCCCAGTATAGAGTTACAAGTATGTGTGCAGCAGCACAAATAACTTTTGGGTGAGTTCTAGGGATCTGAACTCAGGTCCTTATGTTTGCATGGAAAACACATTATTGACTGAGTCATCTCCTCAGTCTCAGGAATGAAAGGAAAGTTAACAGAAGGAGTTCAGTGTAAGCAAAGATGTCACTCAGATGCCACAGACTGACATTTCTTACCTTCCTTCCCTTGACTCTTTATTTTCACTGCTGGAACTGTCTGGAGGTTGTGGTTGGAACTTGTCAGCAGAAACGCATGCTGGATTCCGGCTTACAGGATTTTCATTAATATTCTTTGAAGTTAAAATTGCTTTAAATGGAATGAGAAAAATCTATTTTACTTATTTGTTTTGATGGGCTTAATTTAGGTAACGATATTGATTTTGTTTTAAAAGCAGCAATCTATGACAATCAAACTGGTTCGTCTTTGTGTGACAGGACTCTTGTGATCCTCCTGCCTCCATCTTTGTAGCGTATTTTACCAGCATATGCCAGCACAAATAGCAGTGATAGAACCACACAGCCAAGGACAACGCTGAAGCCCTCATCTTCCTGCCTGTGCTGCTCAAGTGTAGGGTTCCAGCTGGGCCAGCACACCCGATTTCATGTGCCAGATTGTACCAAATGCTTCATGCATGTCCGTCAGACACTCTATCAACTGAACTGTACTCCAAGCCCTCAAACTGGTATTTAAACAAATAAATACATTAGATAATGTTTTACTGAACAGATAAATGCGAGCACTAGGTAGGACGAAATAATTACAAATAGTAAGAATAAGGGAAGAAGCTTTCATACTTGGAGACTGCAGTTACTCAGTCACCACAGGCTGAAAACAAACAAAGCGTGCTTTTTTCTTTTTTGGCCCTGGATGATAAGAAAGCAAGAATATATAATGTATTCTTATCTTGTAAGTAAACTGAATTATGCCCAAATCTCTGTTAACAGGAAAGCAAAAGTACTGGAAAGCACAAGGCACATCTCTTGCTCTGTCTTCTATCAAAGACTGCACAGGATCTGGGCAGAAACTTTAACCTGTGTGCATGGGGGGGGGGGGCTCGGGGAGGGCAGGAAAGTCAGATGAGATGACATTTGACTCACATTTTCAATTCTTGGGAAATAAACACAACAAAAACTAAGGCCACAAACAAAAGTACACAAGCCCATGCATACAGTCACACACATCCCCAAGGTACTGGTTGATAAGAAATCTTGAGTAATATATAAGGAACTAATCATGAAAGGCACAGGAATAGGAAAATCATAACAGACCCAAGGCAAGGCCCCGGCATGTGCTATTCCCTTTAAGAAAATGGCTTAAAGAAAAAAATGAACTCATTCTGGAGAGCAGGCTGGTAGTAAACTTAGAGAGATCTGCTTGCCTCCGCACCCCCAAGGGCAGGGAATTAAAGGCATGAGCTATTATGCATAGCAGAAGAAATATTTAAACATCAAAAACAATTAATTGAAAATTAAATATCTTCTATCCCATTAAAAAGCCACTGGAATCTAGGTATGATAGTGTGCACCTTTTATCCTAGCACTTGGTAGGAAGAGGCAGGGAATCTCTTTGAGTTCCAGGCCAGCCAAGGTTACATAGTGAGACCTTAACTCAAAACAAACAAACAAAGCCCAGGGACGACAGTGTTTAACACCAGCACTTGGGAAAGCAGGGAGGTTTCTGTGAGTTCGAGGCTAGCCTAGTTTACATAGGGAATCCTAGGACCGCCTAGAGAGACCCTGTCCAATAAGGATACCCCTCCATCCCCCCAAAAAGACACTGGAATTAAAAGTTCGAGCCAGCACATACAGTAAAACATTTAAACATCAAAAACAGTTAAGAAAAAGAAGAAAGACTTAGTGGTTAAGAGTATCTCTTGCTCTTGCAGAGGACTTGGATTTGGTTCTTAGCACCTACAAGGTATTCATGTGGAGTCCCACAGTAATTTCTAACTTTAGTTCCAGGGGGATCAGATGCCCTCTTATGACCTCTGTGGACACCAGGCACACACTTAGCACACATACAGGCAAAACAGTCATACACATAAAATAATATTAAAAAACAACACACACACACACACACACACACACACACACACACACACACACACACACACAGAGTATTTTCTATCCATTAAAAAGACTGACTGGTGGTCAGGGCTGGTGTAAGAGGCAGGAAGATCAGGAGTAAGTTCCAGGTGTGTCAGGGTTACACAGTAAAATCCTGCTAAGGGAAACAAAGCACCCCCTTCTCCCAACACCCACAAACAGGGAACACGAGCCATTTATCTCAGCTAATCCCAACTCTTTCAGAACTCACAGGGAAGGATCCTAGAAAAACTGAACAAGTGTTTCTAGGAATAAACATATTACCAGCTAGAAAAGCTTGGATGTATCTGAAAATCACTTCTACCTCAATGGCCATGATCTCACAAATGTTGTTTCCTTTCTAAATGACAGAGAATAGTGTATATATGTGTGTGTGTGCCTGACACAAAAAAAACCAGATCCACAGAGAAAGATAATCTATAAGAACTTATAAATCTGTTCTCACATATTATGCACGAAGTGGAACAAACCTTAGACAAATAGGAAGACCTATGCAGAAGACCAGGATATTGATTTTGAAGACCCCATGGAAGGGGCTTTTATCATCTTTGACAATACTAGATCACAGGCTGGGGAGATGGCTCAGTCATTAAAGCACTTGCTATGTACGTCTGAGGACCAGAGTTTGGGTCCCCCAAATTCATATAAATGCCAGTTGTGCCTGACAGTCACCTGCAGCAATTCTAGCCTAAGAAGGCAGAGACAAAGGATTCCCCAGAACAAGTAGTCTAGGAAGACTTGCCATAACAGGAAATTCTGGGGACAACTGAGAGGCCCTGCCTCAATCAGCGAAGTCCAAGAGCCACAGAGAGTAACTCTTTGACACTATCATCTGGTCTCCACATACCAATCTGTACGTGTGCTCACATATATGCAAACATGCAAACATACAATGAAAATGAAAAAGAGAATAAGGAATATGTAGGGGAAGCTGTAGCCACGCCTTCTTAGGGGCTGGCTAAAAGAGTACCTGAGGGCTTGTGAGGGCGTGGTCAGAGTGAGTAGGGGGACTGAGTTTTCGGTTTCGGTCTCTTTTTGCTTCTTGCTGTACAGACTACCACCGGCTGGCTGGTTCGCTCTGTAAGTAAGGCTTTTCCTTATTAAATACCCTTATATTTCTACCTGACTCCGTACTGGTAATTACTTACTATAGGAATACTAAACAGACCTGTGTTATATGCTCATTGTGGTTTCATGTGTACCTGTAACCCCAGTGTTGGGGCTAAGGGTTGGGGGTGCAAAGATATAAGGATTGCCGGGGCTTGCTGGCTGCCAGTCTAGCCAAAATGAATGCAAACTACAGACTTAGGGAAAGACACTAACTACCTCAAAGAAAGAGGACACCCATATGTGCACACCCGCACACATACATGCACATATAAGGCACATTCACCAAACAAATGATTACGATAACGCTAAGGAAATCTCAGGAACAAACTGAACTGGTGCAAGGAGCCTCTGGGAATCCTCCACACCATCACTGCACCTTTTCCGCAAGCCTTCTTACCCCTAGTGCTTAAGTCTATATTAAATGTAACTTCTTGTTTGTTTGTTTTCTGTCCTAGATCCTAAAGCTCCATATATATACCAGACTGGCCTTGAACTCACAGAGATCCTCCAGCATCTGCCTCTCTCAGTGCTGTGACTAAAGGTATGCACTACCAAGCCCTGAATATCTATCTAAAAGAAAAAGGGAAAAGAAATCAAGTTTTTCTTAAGGCATCAGCCTACGGAGAGAAAGACTCAAAACTGGAGATGGTATTGACAGTGAAGGAGTTTAGAGAGGGGCCACAAAGAACATTTTTATTCTTTTTACAAAGAAACATTTTATCTACAGATATTCAGTGTGTATGTGTGTGTGTGAAACTAACTAACATGTATGCCAAATATGAGGTAGTAGGTTTAGGCAGATATTGAAAGCCAGAACAGTAACAATTCTTATCTTGTGCATCAGAATTGAAAGTCTTGTCTATTTTCACAATAAAACAGTGACAGTACCCCAAAGATAACTGTACTGGGGATGGGACTTTGGGCTTCATTATCTGTTGATGAACTAAATGAAAATGCAGTTACAAAGAAAGTATTTAAGGAAGTACATTTCTGAAGCAGTGCCATAGCAACAGAGTTCCCAGCTTCCCTTGCATGAGCTACTGTTTCTTTCTGAACATAAAAATATTACAAGGCACAAGTGGAGACCAAGGTCACAATACTGAATAATGAACAGACTGGAGTCCCTAGAAAGAGCCAAAGGAAGGCCTTAGGGTCCCCAGAGGACTGTGGAGGAAGTGCTGGAGGAACTTGAGCACCAAGTCATGTGGACTGCTAAGACCACAGTGAAGAAACTGTGGGAGGGTTCACCACCTCGGTCTGTTCCTAAACACCAATTCTTCCTGTGGGTGTCCTACCAGATACTCGGCTTCTCTAAATGAAAACTTCCTTAACTCCTGACCCCTCTGTCTCTACACTTCAAGTGCTAGGGTGACAGACAAGCTCCAGCAAAGCCTGCTCTACAACTGAAAACTCAAGGTGCAGCTCCTGAAATAGGAGATCTCTTCCTACAAACGAGAAAACACGTAAAATAGGTCTTTGCTTTGTGATCTAACACAGTAAGGAGTACATCTCAATCGTCCTTATTTTCTGATGGTTTTCTGAAATTATGGGGCTACCTATTGCCAATCACCTCAACAACTAAGAACAAGAACTATTTCTATTTCCTTTGGGGTCTCCATAGTATCTCCTTGTAAACACCCAGAGAATGACATGAATAAATGATTATCTTGGGTCCTCCTGAATGGAACATCACTTGTGAGCAGGGCCTAGAAATAAGGCTCCCAAATTACTCGTGAGTCACACACTTTGAAAGACGTACCATAAAGTAACAACTCAGTAAATGTATGCTGAGCAAAGACCACTCAGTTGGAACTCAGTCCTCAGTTTCTGAAGGAAACAGGTTAAGGAAGGGAAAAATTTTGCTCATGATACTGTTATTTATTCGGTATTACAAACCTGTTCCTGATAAGTTTTGTTCTGCGTTTGGTAGGTCTTCAGGGGCACAAGGTTCAGCTGTGAGAGACGAGGAGTGGACAGAAGGCTGGTCCCCTTGCTGTTCTAGCACAGCCTCCAGGTGGGCCATCTCCTGCTGGAGCTTTATCAGGTTATCCTTCATGGTGGCCCTCTGCTGTAAAACCAAAGAACACCAAGAGAGTCACACACTTTGAAAGCCGTGCCATAAAGTAAAAATATGCCACACCAATTAATTTTAGCATGAGAACTGAAATCACCTAATATGGAATTATGGGTTCTGGTTGAAATTTTTTTAATCCAACCATACTCCTGCAGTTAATGGCATGAATTATTTCAAAATCATGTTGGAGGGCACATTGTAGCTCAATATTTTCTTTTAAAGATTAAAGAAAACAGTCACAGTACTTTAGGCTTAAAATTTGCAAGAATATGTTAACATCTTACATAAGCTATGCTTCAAAGATTTGATATTGTGAGATTAATCCACAAAAAACTGTGATTTTTTTTTTCCAAAAAAAAATTTTAATGGCCAGTTGGTGGTGATACATGCCTTTAGTCTCAGTACTCGGAAGGCAGAGGCTGGCAGATTCCTGTGAGTTCGAGGCCAGCCTGGTCTATAGAGAGAGTTCTAGGATAGCCAGGGCTATACAGAGAAACCTTGTCTGAAAAGACTAAACAAAGAACCCCACAAAATTCTGTATAGAGATGCTTTGTCTGCACATGTATGCCTGAAGCTCTCTGAGGTTACAAGGAGGCATTGTATCTACAAGAATAGGAACTGTGAGCTATCATATGGGTACTGGGAACTTAACTCAGGTCCTCTGTAAGAGCAGCCAGTGCTCTTAACCGCTGAGCCATGTTTCCAGCTCCTGATTTATTATTATTATTTTATTTTTAAAAGATTTGTAGCTGAGAGTAGAGGTGCCTGATGCTGTACTCAGCTCCAAGTATGTTTATTTTTTTGTTTTTTTTTTTCAAGACAGGGTTTCTCTGTGTAATTGTCCTGGCACTCGATTTGTAGTCCAGGCTGGCCTCAAAGTATATTGATTTTTTAAACAGATGAAGTGTTGAATAATTTTATATGACATTCTAGAAAGCTTGTAACAATAGTTACTATTTTTTTCTTGTCCAGCGTGGCCATTGTTCCCCGTCCATCCCAACAGCCTGGTTCTACATAGTGAGTATCAGGCTAGCCAGGGCTGTAGCAGGGCCTAGTTCTACATAGGGAGTATCAGGCTAGTCAGGGCAGTGAGACTCTGTCACAAATAATTTAGCTAGTATAAGATATTTGATAAGCAAAGAATGCAGACATTTAGGTAATTTTCCAAAATACACATTTCTTCACCACTTTTTTGTTTTGTTTTTGAGACAGAGTTTCTCTGTATTGCTTTGGAGCCTGTCCTAGCACTCACTCTGTAGATCAGGCTGGCCTCGAACTCACAGAGATCCACCTGCCTCTCTTTACCACTTTTAGAAGGAATGTGGATGCTGTTTTTCAGCTTCAGGAGGGGCACAAAATCTGTTTCACCTTCTGTTCCTTTCTTCTGACCCTTGAAAATGACTTTGTTCTTCATTAAAAAACAAGTCAGTTTCTTCCTACAGCTACACTAAATTCATAGTTCTCAGGAGGATTTTATGACCAAAAAAAAAAAAAAAAAGATGTATTTCTATCTTTATAAAGGTTCCCATTGCTACTCTCTCTGAGACTGTATTGCTGCCACCATCTGCAGTGCCGCCAATGCCACCACATGGTACCGGTGAGTACTGACATCACTGATCAGACACTAGCTAAGGGCCTTACACAGACATCAGACCAATGCTTTGAAAGCTGAATAAGTCAGCAACCACGACTACCCCAAGTGGCCATTAAACACACCAGAAAAATCAGGAGAAAATGCAACCAGAGCACTGGTGCAGTAACTTTCTTTTGGCTTTTCCCATGGGAAGGAATGCATACCTTAGACAAATTCCACCATAGATAATAGTTCAATTGCACGAGGGAGGCCAAAGTCAGATAGGTTACCAAGTCTGCTTAACTCAAATTCTGAAATATCTCTAATGAGTTCTCTTCTTTAGTTGTAGTCCCACAATGCTGCTCTCACACTTTAATGTCGCTACAATACTGCCAACATTTCCTAAAAGCCACATTTATCAAGTCCCCTTTTTCCAAAAGGGCCTTAAGTGGCACAATACGGCTCAGGTGATATGTTAGCATTTTTGTACATTAAAGAACTGTTAGCCTTTACTGCCCTCAGGACAAAGTCTGTTCACACCTTCTCTGTTATTTGTCTCCAGCATTTCCCATAGCCCAGTCTTCTAGAGACACAGGACTAGTCAGTGATCCATAGGCATTCAGCGCTTCTGTATCTTTGCCTCAGTTGCTGCCTCCCCTCTCTTCCCATTTGGTAAACTCTTCTCATCTTTCTAAGCCCAGTTTACAAGTCTTCTTTGGGCATCCCTACCAATTGTCTAGCTGGTCAACAGCATGCTTCATGACTTGGCTCAGACTTCCAGAGCATCAGTATACTCAGGGGACACACAACTTCCTTGATGGGAGGAATCTTCCCTTGTTTATTTTGTGGTAAGACAGGCCTATGTATCTCAGGCTAGCTTCAAACTTGAGATTCTTCTGCCCAAGCTTTCCTCAGGCTGGGAATGCTAATGTTACGGGGGTACAAGGTGTGCAACAAGGTGTAAGGTGTAAAGTTCTCAGCAAACATTTAAGGCAGAAATCAATGAATGGATGAATTAGTCTTTGGGTAAGGAGGGGAGGGTCTGGCAAGATGGTTCAGTGGGTAAAGGGGACCTATATGGTGGGAGGAGATAATCTTGTATCTTCATCTGCCTGCCGTGGAACACACACACACACACACACACACACACACACACACACACACAGCATCAAAAAGGTATGTTAATGATATCAAACCAGGCATTATCTACCATCTATTACTCCTCAGATCTACATAAACAGAGCGTAAAGATACCATTTTAATCATTTTGCTCGTCTATGCTAGTCCAGATAAAAGTTACCTGTTTTGGATAGAAACTTGATAAAAAAACACTTTAAAAATGAATCCTGAACAAATAAATAATAAACATATGTCTGGGAATAAGATCAGAGATACAAGAAACAAAGCAGTTTATTGAAATGTCAAATATAATACAGTATGGCTAAGACAGATGGAATAAAAAGCTGGAACCTAAGAAACAAACCAGCCAAGGGACAGAATTAGGTGACAGACATATTGACAGAGCCCCGAATCTAAATCCAGAAAGGATCAGTGAAATTGAACATAGAGAGAAGACCTCCTAAGTCTTTTAATCATTCTGGTCACTATGGCAATGTTGCAAAAGTAGAGAATTTGGGTGATAAATAAGGCACAGAACAGACAGTTGTCTCAACGGTTTCCTCCCAACTCCTACAGGCTTCAGGCCTAGGATTTACTCTGAACAGAGAATGGTCTGTAGGAGCCAAGTCCTCTCTATTTGTCATCCTCACAGCAATGCCAACAGTTAAACTACTTAGAAAACTGGACACTACCTAGTGTTGGCAAAGGTACAGGAAAGTGGAAACTCCAAACACTACAGAAGTTAGAAGCCTAGGCTGGCTTAATCCAGAAACAGAAAGCTATATAGATGTTAGATAGGAGCTCCTGTAACTCGAGCATTCAAGATGCAGAGGCTCTCAAGTTCAAAGCTAGTCTTAGATCTAACAAAGTTATGTGCTGTTTTAACAAATAAAACCACCCCAATCCCCAATACAGATATCGAGGTTGGGGCGGTAGCCCTATGCATAATATAGTGCTAGCCTAGCATACACAATTCCCATCACAATTAATAAAATAAGATTAAAAAGTCACTGACAAATTTAATGACACAAAAAAGGTAAATCAGAATATAATATATAGAATTACTGAATGGTTTCTTGATTTATCTCATTTTGAGACAGGGTCTCAATTTGCAGCCCCAGCTGGCCTACTACTCACAATATAAACCAGGCTGGCCTGGAACTCACAGAGGCTCACCTGACTCTGCCTCTGGAGTGCTGGGCCTAATAGAGTGTTCCATACTTGGCTCCTTTTCTGAGTTTTTGATGACAACAAAATGACTTTAGGAATACTATGAATTCCCAGTATTGTTTAATTTAGTACTTTTTAGGAAGACAAGAAAAAATTACTCACATGCTGGCAGCTAAAAGCACATTTACACTTTAGGAGAAAAATGAAAGCTAAAAAGGGTGATTAAAAAGTTCCAAATAACTCCATTTTAACAATGTATCGACTGGACCAGTGATTTGGCTCAGAGCATAAAATCACTTGTCACCACATGTGAGGGCCTGATTTGATCCCTAGAACCAACTTCCATAAGGTGTCACCTGGCCTTCACACATTTACTGTGGTGGTAAGATACACCTACATATGTACAAATGTTAATAAAAAGAGAATGTAACCTATTACAATTTAAGGAAGATAAGTGGTCAGCTAAGACCATACAGCCAAGTACAGAGAACTCTGGCCAGTGTTTGTGCCAGAACTGCTGTGTGTTCTGCACAGGACCCCATGCAGGAATCCAGAGGGAACCCTAAGAAGTGCCCAGCTACTAAGAGATAACCACAGGAAAGTAAGACCCTGATGAACCTAAGATTGGGATATGAGCTTGGAAAATTTTGGTATCACTTTTACAAAATGAAAACTGGGTGAGAGAGGCAGGTTCTGGCTGTGAGAAAGATAAGGTTCTTCTTGAGACTGTCCTGCCTCTGTTATCCCATACAAATGTCCCCAGTCACCAGTCCCTTACCAGGTTCAGGAATGAGTATCATGTATGGGCTTCTCTAATGAGGAAGAGATGACTAAAATAAAAAGAAATATCTACAACACAGTAAAAGGTAAGATGCTCTCTAGTGGTGACTAGAGAGATGGCTCAGAGGTTAAAAGCACTGGCTGCTCTTCCAGACGTCCTGAGTTCAATTCCCAGCAACCACATGGTAGCTCACAACCATCTGTAATGATATCTGGCTCCCTCTTCTGGCCTGCAGGTATACATGGAGGTAGAACAATGTATACACAAAAAAAAAGATGGTCTCTAATGGAAAGACAGTCCTGAGGCTTCAATTTGTTTCTGAGAATAAATATATTCCTTTTGAGACAATAGTGCTTTAATATAATTTTGCTATCGGGCAAGTAGGTTTTTAAGATCTGGCTTATTGAGCTGTGTGGTGGTAGCACACACCTTTAATCTCAGCACTCGGGAGGCAGAGGCAGGTGGATCTTTGTCAGTTTAAGGCCAGCCTGATCTACAGAATGAGTTCCAGAACAGCCAGGGCTAACAGAAAAACCCTGTCTCTGGGGGTGGGGAGAGAATCTTAAAGTTAGTATTCAGGGTTCCACAGTGAGCTAGATGGTGTTGAAGCTATAAAAGGGCACTGAAAAAAAATCTCATTTGAGGATTCGAGGCATCATGCACAGCTATGAGGCCAATGACATTAGCAGGTATAAGAATATAGGGTTCATAGCACCATATACAAAGGACATCACAAAGTTTCTAATGCTTTTTACCTGAGTGGTTAAAATATCACTCTGTGAGCAATCTTCAGAAAGGTTTGTTTCACTCTCATATCCAGATGCCGCTTCAGCTTAAATGACAATAAAGTCAGAGTCAGATTTAAAGCAGAACATGAACTCGGCAACATGCGCTATCCGCCCCTTCCCTTTTACAGCACTGTTTCCCGTCAGTCACAGAAATGAGGAAATGTGGGACACAGAACTCCTACAACAGGCTGGGTGTGGTGGTGAATGCATTTAATCCCAGATTTTGGGAGGCAAAGTCAGGCAGATCTCTGTTTCGGGCCAGCCAAGGCTACACAGAGACCATGTCTTAAAAAACACAAACAAATCCGAAACATTCTGCAATAAAACCCAGAAGCAAGTCTACTGATAATTAGGTCATTCAAGTTTGTCCTATCAGACATTCTGGGTACATGAAGGCATTGGAAAAAAGATTTTCTTTTTATGATTTTTAATTATGTGTATCTGTGTGGTTACTTATAGGAACACAGCAGGTATCTGTGGAAGCCAGAGACAGTAGATCCTCCTGAAGCTGGAGTTACAGGTATTTATGAGTCAGTCACCTGACATGGATGCTGGGAACCAAATTTAGGTTTATTGCAAGAGAGTACCTACTCTTTTTTTCCCTTTTATTTATTTATTTTTATTTTATGTGCACTGGTGTTGTACCTCCATGTATGTCTACATGAGGGTGTTGGACCTCCTAGAATGGAAGTGACAGAATTGAGCTGCCATATGGGGGCTGGGAATTGAACTTGGGTCCTCTAGAAAGAGCAGCCAACAGCCGGGCACTGGTGGCGCACACCTTTAATCCCAGCACGTGGGAGGCAGAGGCCAGCCTGGTCTCCAGAGCGAGTCCCAGGACAGCCTCCAAAGCTACACAGAGAATCCCTGTCTTGGGGAAAAAAAAAAAAAAAAAGAAAGAGCAGCCAGTGCTCTTAACAGCTGAGCCATCTTTCACACATCCTCCCCCCCCACCCCCACGCCCAGGAAGGACTTTTGACTCTTAATGTAACTGCACTTGGAAACATTCAGCTCACTTCTGTAGACTGGTACAAACAAACAAAACTACCTGAATCTGGGATTATAATATCCTCTTCTTGATCATTATCTTCTTCTAGGCAAGTTCCCATTTCCTCATCATCTGAAATCAATTCCTTGTCACTTAGAAAATCTTCCTCATCCTCAGACTGGTGACTCTTTTGTTTGGAAAGGTTAAACAAGGGGTCCTGGGAGCTTGTATTTGCAGTTGAACCTTGTACAGCACTGGGCTGAGAAGAGAACATGCTGCCAGAGTATTTTGCATCCTCACTAGGGTGATGTTCCTGAGATGCCTCTATCAAGATCACCTCGTTATCAGAGTCACCAACACTACTCTTCCATGGCACTTGGGTCCCCTCTGCTTTCTCTGACAGAGGCTGTGTCACAACACTGCTAGGTTCAGGTGTTTTGCTTACTTGGCCAAGTAAGTGTTGGAAGCAGGGAAGGTCTTCATCCTCACAAGATCCGCTGTCTTCTGAGGACTCTAACTTCCTAGACCGTCTCTGGAGATTCCGAGCCAGCGATGCATGGGTTAAAGGGCTAGGGCTCCTACTGAGCTCTCGTCTCTGGACACTCCCGTTAAAAACAGCAGACTTCTCCATTATGTCAACTTCACCAAAGCTAGTATTTTCCTGTATTTCAACATCATCCAACAGGTCATCAGGTGTCTCAGAACAAATCTGAAAAACATTACCACTCCCTACAGGTTGTTCGAGCTTATCTGAAAACAGACACGAAGAGAAGTGTGCACCAACATTCTCACCTTCCTGCTTTTTTATTTCAAGATATTTATAATCACTGACAGGAAAACTATGCTTACAGACTCCAGGTTGCATAAGACCTAGTGGAAGCACAGTGTTTAACTTAGTCCTTCTGTTTCGGCCTAGCTGTCCTTGGAAGTTTTCACCACTGGAAGGCACTTCATTAATACTGCCTGAGTTGGCTTCTTGACAACCATTTTTTCTGTGGTTTTGGCTAATTGTGTGCATTGTGCTTTGAACAAAGGTCTCATTTCCCATTGCCTTTTCATTTGACAATGTATGTTTCTCAGATTGTTCCTCTGACAGGGTTTTCCCATGGCCAGTTTTTATAGAAGACATGATGGGAGAAGCTGATTGTTTAGGATGTGAGTTTTCATTGCTTCTGTACTGAGATGATGGACAAAGGCTGCACACTGCAGCATGCATTGTATCAGCGCCTGGATCACCTTCCTGACGAGGCAGAGGCACGCCCACTGTCGCAGGCCCTGCCTGTATGTGACTGATTTCAGCCTCTTCGTGTCCCCGACTTTCTTCTTGTTGTTCACCTTCAGAAGTCACTTTTGGACTCATGTCCCTTAAGGACACAGAGGAAGCACAAGCTGTTACACACTCCTCTTGGGGATCTCTTGGTTTTGAAAATAAAGTAAATGACTGACGCTTTGAAGCTTGAAATGTATTCTGTAAATACTGAGTATCAAGTTCACTCTCTTCCATTTCTATGGTCTCCTGAATGTGGCTAAGTTCGTGTCTCAATGGATGCTTGAAGCACTCTGTGCCACTTCCAGCATCTTTAGAACCATGGACCAGTTCGTTAGGGTTATCACTTGCTACAAACTGGGTCATACACTGGCTTGATACTGTTTTTGCATATCTGACAGCATTAGCTTCCAGCAATGACACACTGTTCTGAGTGTCATAATCAGTGTCAGGCACCAATGAAACACTGGTACTCTCCTCCGACCTCTCAGTGGGCAAACCCTGTTCTCCATCCAGCAACAGATCCCTCAGGTCTTTGGTACTGTCAGACATTTGGCTTGTTTCAAGTTTCTCTACTTCCTTTCTCTGAGGGCTAGGATTGGCAGGTCCTTGAGGTTTACTAGAACTTGGACAGTTAGTTAATAAGCCAGGCATAAATTTCTCTTCTGGGAAAGGATCACTGGCCCTTCTCTTCCTTCTTTGTTCATTTGGCTCTTTATTCTTCTTGGAATCTGCTGCAGGTTCTGTGTCCTCCGTGAGTTGAGGCTTTCTAATGTTCTTGACTGGTGTTGGGTTGGAATTGTTTTTCTCTGTTTCTTCACTGCTGCTACAACTATCAATTTGAAATTCAGTACAAGCAGGTGGGCTTGGATTCCTACTGACTGGTTCCAGTGCAAGAACACATCTGGTTGAAGACTTCCTCCTCAGCCGACTTTTCTTAGGTGCCTGTGAATTGTGGACATTTAATTCTAGCTCCAAATCACTTATACTGTTGCTTATAGTTTTGGCTTTAGTTGTGGAAACAGACCCCTTTTCCAAGGACTTCACTGGATTAGCATTTTTCTCTTTCTGAAGATTATTACCTTGTGTTTCATTCTCTTGACCATTACTGGTAATACCCATCACTAGGCCATCTGGCTCCATTTGGTCAGTTCCTTGATTTACATTTTTAGAAGTCTTTTGAGTAACTGTTAAATCTGCTTTCTTGATAAAATCCTCAGGATGAAGGCATGTAGTTCTCCTTTTACGTTTTAATTTATTTGTGAAGGGGTGTTCTTGTGTTATCTGTGGTTCTGCAATAAATGTGCCTATAATTTCAGTTACGTGGTTCAAGTGAGGGAGACTTCCCTTTCTCTGATACGTTTTCCCAAATATTTTATCTCGGATATTGTTCTCTACTGGTTTGGAGAGGTCGCTTTCACTTTTACACTTTAAAGCATTATGGGGATCAGAGGCCACTAAGTCCATTTCTTTTGAAGAACTGGAACATCCATCTACTTCATCTGAAACTTCTAACACAACAGCTGCTCCAGCATTTGACTCATGCCTCCTGTCAGATGTGCCATCACAAGTTAGCATTTCACCAGTTTTGGAAAACCACTCGTTGACTTTCTGAATGCTGCTATTCAGTGTCATCCAAGGAACATCCTGGGTAGCTCTAGAATTCTCAGGACACAGACTTTTCTGATTTTTCCATTTTTTTCTCCCACAGAAGGAATCAGTATTTGGATCTACCTTTTTCTCAGTGCTGGGAATCTGCCTATCATTACATGTTTCTTTACTTTCAGCCCATCTGTTCTGTTGGCTCCTGGCTAAGCCAGACTGTTTGCTTTTATTATAGAACTCAGCCTTTTCTACATTCATTCTGTCTTCAGTGAGTAATAAGCTGCTGTTCTCATGCTGTAACGAGCTGGCATGAATATCTGTGCCACATGGCTCCACATGTAAGTTTGAAACAGAAATATCCTGACATTTTTCTGGATATCTTCCAGTTGCATGATTCTCAATGGGGTCCAAATCTTTATTACTGCACTGGTGCAGATCAATATTTGTTACGTCCTCAGAAAACTCACAAGCAGCTGAAATATACAAAATAACAAGGTACTTAAAAGTGGAATTATCATGAGAAAATACATATTTACTACAACTTGGAAGTAGAAATCCATCCAGTAACCATACTTTATAAAATTTTAGATTGTATACATGTTTTGTTTGCATGTATGTATATGCACCACGGGTGTGCCTAGTGCTCACAGAAGACAGAAGAGGATTTCAGATCTCCTGAAACTGGAGTTATGGATGGTTGTGACCCATCAAGTGGATGCTGGGAATCAAACCTGAGTCTTCTGCAAGAGCAACAAATTCTACTGCTGACCCATCTCTCTAGCCCCAGTCCACTGGCTTTTTTTTTTTTTTTTTTTTTTTTTTTTTTTATTTTTGAGGCAGGGTTTCTCTGTGTAGCCCAGGCTGTTCTGGAACTCACTCTGTAGACCAGTCTGGCCTAGAACTCACAATGATTCACCTGCCTCTGCCTCCCAAGTGCTGGGATTAAAGGTGTGTACTACCATTATCCAGCTTCCATTGGCTTCCAAGTGTACTGAAGCTCTAGCTCATACTCTTTCATGTAACCCCATTAAGTAGAGTCTGATGTTTCCCCAAACATGATAATCAGATCACATCTATTCCCCTAGTCTCATTATTATTAAAAAAAGCAGATTATTTGATCAAAAGACTTCAAGTTTTCTGTTTATAGACTCATGTGCTCTACATTTAAAAACTATTGACAGATGGGTGTGGTATTCCATCACTGAGAAGTTTAAGACGGGAAAAATGCTGATAGTTCAAGGCCGCGTGAGCTGTAGTATGCTTGTTTCTAAATCAGTCAAAACGAAAAGAAACAAAACCCAGGTGGCAAAAATGGAATATATCAACCAAGAGGAAAGGACAGCAAGGGCTGCCGGTATGTGACTATAATGCCAGCACTTGGGTGGCTTAAAAAAGAAGGATGATTAGACTACTCTGGATTATGTAGCAGAACTATCCTTAAAAAAATAAAAAATTAAATGGCAGCATGCAGCTACACACAATATACTATAATCCTGCCAGTCTAGTACCACACACCACCACACAATGGCAGCAAAAAAAAAAAAAAGTGTATTTTAATTCTTTAAAAAGAGGTTGTGAATTAAATTATAAATAAATATGGAACCTGGTCTTCAGATTAATTTAATTACAGAATTACATCTATCTACTCTCATTAGTGTCATTAAGGTGAGAAGGCTTGACATTACCTCTGGTTGAAGAATCCAAACTGACTTCATCTCCAGCTCCCAGAGAGGTGGTTTGTAACAGTTCCTGGTCTCTCACACTAAAGGGAGAAAAGACAGAACCCCTAATGAGAAATTCTGGTTGGATGCTCACAAACTGTCAAATGGGTGAGATCAAATATTTTAGCTCCTTTAGACAGGGCCGTAATAGACTGACTCACCTTTTGAAATTTGCTCTCCTCTAAGTGCCTTCCAGTAAAAATGGAATGGTCGAAGACCAAGGACAGTCACAAAGATCAGAATAGTGTAGTGCTTTCTGGATATGCAAATAAGAGCATACTTGCATGCTTGGGGACCACTGGGGAAGAAGGGCTAAAAAGATTCTAAGAACCAGAGGTTGGAAAAACCAGAGCAAAACAGTGTGTATCCTGGATATGACAGGACCACTGCACCCACGAACTCACAGCAGCTGTGCTTGTCTGCACATCTGTACAAGATCAAGCCAGTCAGCATTCTAGCATAGAAAGAGGAGGGGTTCATGAGTCCACACCCCCAACTAAGGAGCTATGGACAGTCCAGAGATTCTGAGGGAGAGAGTTGGTTTCCTTCAGGGGTATGGAGTTCTCTGTTGGTTGAGATTGAGCACACTCTCCAGTGGATGGAGAAATGGTTAGTATCTTTTTGTTTTGTTTCGAGACAGGGTTTCTCTGTGTGGCCCTGACTGTCCTGGAACTCAGATTCCATAGTCTCTGACTCCTGAGTGTTTGGACTAAAGGAGTGTGCTACCACCTCCGGCTGAGAAATGGCTCAGTGTTAAGAGCACTGGTTGATCTTCCAGAGTACCCGGGGTTCGATCCCCAGCATCCACAGGATAGATAGCCCATAGACATCTGCAACTCCAGTTCCAGGGAAGTGAATGAAGTCTTCTGGCCTCTTCAGGCATGAGGCACAAATGTGGTTCACAAATGTATGTTCAGGGAAAGTACCCACACATGATGTAATTTTTTTTGTTTTTGAGACAGAGTCTCTCTGTAGGCCAGGACAGCCTTGAAGTCACAGAAATCCACCTGCCCCTGCCCCACAAAAAAAGAGTTCTGGGATTAAAGGCATATGCCACCAAGCCCAGCTCTGCATAAAAGTTAAAAACAACAACAACAACAAAAACCCTCTTTAATCGTTATTATTGAACCACACTTCCAGCAAACATCCCCCTCATTTTAAGGTTAAGTAAAACTAATCTGTAAAAAAAATTTACTAATTATGATCAGTTATCACAGATCTTAAAAGAGGAAACTGGATGGTTATAAAAATGATACTTTGAGCAGGTGTGGTGGCATATGCCTTTAATCACTCAGGAGGCAGAAGATAGATCTCTGTGAGTTCTAGAACAGCCAGGGCTACAGAGACTGCCCCAAAACAAACAAACAAACAAACAAACAAATAGATCCTCTAGTATTTTTATCAGCCATAATTACTACCAAATATGAGAAACTCAGAGAATAACTGTTGGGTGGAAACAAGTGTGTGCTGACTTCCACTGTTATCTAAAACTCCTTTGGAATGAAAAAAATGTACAACAAACAAAAAAGGTTTCCCAGGAAATAAACAGATGAAACTAAATGATCCTTGAAGTTTCTTCTAATACCATGACCTAAATCTATGATCCTCAATATTAATTAGATATGAAAATACCACCTTCATAGACAAAGGCTCCTTGTGACTCACCTGCAGTCATCTGGTTTACTAACTGTCTCTTCAGAAGAATCAGACTCTTAAAGAACAAAAAGAAAACCCCAAAATCATTCAAGGTTTTTAATGAAAATGGTCAAAAAATGCTTCTTGCAAAACATAGTGGTTCACCCAGAAATATTTATAATGTGTACTTTGTAACCCTGGCTGTTCTGGAATTCACTCTGCAGACCAGGTTGGCCTACAACTCAGAGAGATCCTCCCTGCCTCTTGGGTGCTGGGATTGACGGTATGCACCACCACTGCCCAGCCCTGCTTCCAAATTCTTAACTTCTCTGTGACTTAATATTCTCATCCATAAAATCAGTAACCACCTCAGGACCTTAGGTGAAAGGTCTAAGCACAACAGCACTTAAAATACAGTTAAGTGCTCCTAAATAGTAACTGACATGATTTGCACTACTGTAACAGAGATCCATGGTGGTGCAGAGAACTCAAAATAGAACAATTCTTCACATTTGATTACTTATTTTTGAGAAAGGTTCTCTGTGTATCCCACGTTGACCTCAAACTCTTGACCCTCCTGGATCAGCCTTTCAAATGCTGAGATGACAAACTTGGCCACAATCACAAATTCTAACAAAATATAGTTAAAGAGACCTGTTTGAGCTTTGGGCTCATTTCTTTTCTTTTTCTTTCTTTTTGGCCAGCTGGAAATTACGTGCAGGGCATGTACAAATTATCTTGGATTTCTCTAAATGCGACGGCAACTAATCATGTTCTTTTTATTGCGACTCTATTTCCCCAAATTCACTTACATTCATAACCAGATAATCTCTCCTTTTGTTCCGTTTTTTAAGAATAAAGTAAGAGATTCTTCAAGGAGTGAAGTGTAACTTTTATATAATTTATAATTCATGATAGAGCCCTTAAAATTATTTTACTTTCATTTACCATAAATCAGTGCAACACATATAAATCACAAACAAGATTTTTGATAAAACTCTAAGCCAAAAAAATCTAGCAATTATTATTTCAAACTTAGTAAAATCCGAGACCCTTACCTAATTCAATGTACACAGATTTATTTCGAGGCTGTGTCTGATGATTTTTCTTTGTTGATCTCACAATTCCAAGGTTAGACAGCTGGACACTGAGACTGTCCTTCTGTTAAACAGTAAAGAACGCCTAAGTTTTATGTTTTGAAATTTTCCTTTATTTTTACAAAACTAATTATGATCACGAGTATCTACTAAGTAATAATATAGAAAAACTTGAAGCCGATAGTCTGTATTTCCAATCACATCTGATAAGACTGGCAACATAAAATGTATTTCAAAAGCATAAATTTTAAATAAAAGGCAGAGTCTGAGGGAGAGGCTATAAAGGAGGTAAAAAGGCTGGGAGTCAAGGAAAAGAACCAAGAAAACACACTTTGAAAATGACATAGTGTTCTCTAACACGTTATATACTGATTTAAGAAATAAACACCCACTACAGACATGGCTCAAAGGTGAAGAACAGGGGCTGCTCTTGCTGAGGACCCGAGTACCTGCATTCAAATGCAGACACCCTACACAGGGTTTTACCTTTAATTAAAGATGAAAAAAATAAATCTAGCCAGTGGTGGCGCACGCCTTTAATCCCAGCACCCAGGAGGCAGAGGTAGGCGGATCTCTTGGGTTCCAGGACACCCAGGACTACACAGAGAAACCCTGTCTCAAAAAAACAAAACAAAACAAAAAAAAAAACAAAACAAACAAAAAAAAACCAAAACCAAAACCAACCAACCAACAAATAAATAAAATCTAAATATTTAAATAAAAATATCTAAAAAAGGGTTAATGATAACCATAAAAATCCCAGCATTCCTAGCAACACTTAATAAGGTGTAATTCGTGATCTCTGTTATCTAGCTATATACAAAGAGAGTGATTGCATTTTTTTTGATAATTACAGTGATTAAGTTGAAGTAATTGTTAAATGCTTACAAAAGATCAGTGATATTGTGTCTGTTTCAGACAAGCATCAGAGCTGATGAAGTTATAAAAAAGGGGAAGGGCCTATAAGGTGTCTTTTGATCACAACAGGTACCCTGAATTTCTAAGTTTGTAACTTTTATTAGAACACTTGTCCAGCCACTTAATTTACCATCATCCTCTCTTTACTAGGTTTTCATAAAATCCACTCATTCCCTAATTCACAATGCTAATGCTTAATAAATAGATGCCAAGAAAAAAACTGAAAACAGTTTTACCAAGGTGGCATTTCCAGATTCAATCTGTCTAAGTCTTTTGCCGCGGTTTCGGTAGCCCACACTCTGGATGATGGAAGCTTCCTCATTCAAAGGTTCAGAAGAATTTTTCAATTTTGAAATACTGTAACCGTTTGCATCTTTAAAACATAAAGAATATGTTTTAGGTAGAAGAAAACATTAGTCTTCATTAAATACCCCAAAAGAATACTGTGTTTGCCCCTTGCTATAAACGGATAATGCAAACAACAACAACATCAAAACAAGCCTGGTGGAGGGGGCAGTAGTCCACACCTTTGATCCTAACACTCAGGCAGAAGCTGCAGGGTTTTTGAATTTCAGGACAGCCAAGGCTACATAGAGAAACCATGTCTTGAAATACAAACAAAAAAGAGCAATGCATTACAGATAAAATTGTTTTGTTGTTTTTTGAAGCAGATTCTGTATAGTCTTCATTAGTCTGAAATTTGATAGCTTTGAACCCAGACATCTACCCGCCTCTGTCTCCTGAGTACTAAGATTTAAGGTATATGCCTTCATGTTTGTCTACCTTTAGTTTAGTTTCTAATTTTGTTTGTTTGTTTTTCGAGACAGGGTTTCTCTGTGTAGCTTTGGAATCTATCCTGGCACTTGCTCTGGAGACCAGGCTGGCCTCAAGCTCACAGAGATCCACCTGCCTTTGTCTCCCGAGTGCTGGCATTAAAGGCGTGTGCCACCAACGCCGGGCACAGTAAAGCATTCTTAACTGTTGAGCCACCCCTCCTGCTCTGATTACCTAAAACAAATTTTAAAGTCCAGTTTGGAAATTCAGAGACTATCCAAGTTATTTCCCCCACACACCTAAAAACTAATACATTTGCCCATTAACAAATTTACCTTGTTTCTTTGAATTGAAGGAGTAACAAATGTAAGATGTACCACTATTGTTTATACCACGAGGAAAGGAAACATTAAGCAATCACATACAATTGATAAAATACTCTAATTTCAGAGACATTAAATAAATTTTTAGAATGAAGAATAAAACGTGGGATGATAGGAGTCTTTAAATACAGGCTGTCAAGATGGGGTCCAAATGCTTGCTTCGAAGCCTCATGACCTGTGTTTGACCCCAACCCACGTGCAAGCACTAGTTAACCTGTAAGCCCCTCTTGCCCAAGGGTAGATAACTTCCTGGAATGCTGAGGGCTACTGTTTATGTAAGATAATAAGCCAGGTGTTTTCACTTCTGTAAACAAGGTTGGTTGCCCCAACTGCACAGGATGTGCCTGATCACATGTAAGTGGGAGAAGAGTAGGCAGGAAGTATGTCAGGCTGTATGCTTGACCCCCATTGGATGAAGGCAGGATAGCCTATTGGGTTCTACCTTCATAAGCACCTGACCAAATTAATTCACCACCATTCTTTGGGAATCTCGGGTATGGACCTGACCAGGCCAGTGTTCATAGTCCTGACCAGTATTAAATAAAGCTTGCTTTAATTAGACAATCATGGATTTTATTTATTATGTATGTGGTGTTCTGCCTGTATGTTTGCCTGAAGGCCAGAAGAAGGCACCAGACCTCAATATACATGGTTGTAAGCCCCCATGTGGTTACTGGGAATTGAACTCTTCTAAGAGCAGCCAGGGCTCTTAGGTCCTGAGCCATCTCTCCAGCCCAACTTTCAGGTTTAACACCAAGTAAAGGTAGGAGAAAAATCAACCCTAAACTTGTCCTCTGACCTCTATATGTGTGCTCTAGTGAATGCATGTCTGCACTCAAACATACTACAAGTAATAAAAAAAAGTTAAACTAGGGCCAGTGAGCAAAGGCAGTTAGCACCAACCCAAAAGATAACAGCTCAATCTCTGAGACCCACATAGCAGAATGAAAGAAGCAACTCCCAAAAGCTGTCTTGATTTGCACATATATACTGTGGCATACCTGAGCCACACCCCTCCATAACACAATCAAATGTTGGAAACCCAACTCCTTCTGGAGTTTGCAGGCAGCAAGCACATACATGATACACTGACATACTGTGTCTTAGTTAGGATTTCCATTGTTTTGCTAAAACACCATCACCAAAGCAACTTGGGCAGGAAATGGTTTATTTGGCTTACACTTCCATATGATAGTTCATCATCAAAAGCAATAAGGACAGGAACTCAATCAGGGCAGGAATCTAGAGGTACGCGCTGATACAGAGGCCATAGAGGGTGCTGCTTACTGGTTTGCTTACCATGGCATGCTCAGCCTGCTCTCTTACAGAACCCAGGACCACCAGTCCAGGGGTGACCCACTGCATGGAGGAGGCTAGGCGCTCCCACATCAGTCACTAATTAAGAAAATGCCCCATAGGCTTACCTACAGCCCAATCTTATGTAGGCGTTTTTCTCTATTGTGACTCTAGCTTGCTGTGAAGTTGACATAAAAAAACTAGCCAACAAAACAAAACAAAAAAACTAGCCAGCTCATACATGCAGGTAAAACTCCCATATACATGAAAAATTTAAATACATAAAGAGAAGTTAGGGGGGCTGGAGAGATGGCTCAGAGGTTGGGAGCACTGACTGCTCTTCCAGAGGTCCTGAGTTCAATTCCCAGCAACCACATGGTGGCGCGCAACCATCCGTTATGAGATCTGGTGCCCTCTTCTGGTGTGCAGATATACATGGAAGCAGAATGTTGTATACATAATAAATAAATAAAATCTTAAAAAAAAAAAAAAAAAGAAGTTAAAGAGGCTGGAGAGAGCTCAGTAGCATTTGCTTGACTCCCAACACTCATAAAAAGCTGGACACAGGGAAAGCAGACACAAGGGATCTGGGCCAGTTAGCCCAGCCTAATTGGCAAGTACCATGTACCAGTGAGAAACTTTGTCTCAAAAAAACATGTGTAGGGCTGGAGAGATGGCTCAGACATAACAACACTGACTGCTCTTCCAGAGGTCCTGAGTTCAATTCCCAGCAACATGGTGGCTCACAACCAACTATTATAATAGGATCTGATACTCTCTTCTGCAGATATACATGCAAAGCATTCATGTACATAAAATATAAATAAAGTAAGATTAAAAAACCAAAAAATAAAATACCAAAACCATGTTCATGGCTCCTGAGGAACAATTTTTGAAGATGACCTCTGGGTTCCACACAGGCACATCTGCCCCAGCCCATGCTTCCCCAAATAAATAATTCCAGGCACAGATTTAACTTTTAACCAGACTAAATAAAGACTTATCGCTTATTCACGTAACATTACTTGGAAAACTTCTCAAGTTTTCCAGCCAGCCCCTCGAGCATTGCCTACGGGCTGTGTAACACTTACACTGTATTCCTGTGTCAAGCTCAAAAGCATCAGTGATTTTCAACAGCTCTTCAACAAGCTGACTAAACCTCGTGCTTCCTTGCAGGCTCCTGAAATTAATTTTTTTGAGATGCACATAAGCGATTATTAATTTTAAGCACACTAAAATAAAAACATTTAAACACATAGGTTGTAACTTTGCTACTATAAACATAGCAGAAAGCACAAACTCAAAGAACTAGTAATTTGATCCCCAGCACAGTAAAATCAAACACAGATCTACCGGTTGTTAGTGTTCTGCGTCTGCACTGGCCTGTCCTTGGGATTCTGATAGGATATGCCCTCAGCTGTAGCCACTAAGAGCACCGCCTGTGCACATTCACTATGTTCCCTTTTAAAAGGGCCCCGCCCACCTCCCATCCTTCTCTCTCTCTCTGCATCCTTCTTTCCTCTCTCCTGCTGCTGTCCCCAGAGGCTGGTCTCCCTTTTTTATGATTCCTTTCTCTAATAACCCCCCACCCTTGCTTGAACCCTGCTGTGTGGCGTCTTTCTCTCGTGCACTGCTTTTCTTAAATTATAACACCCGTGACATCACTTTATAATCACTGAGTGGTAGTAGTGCATGCCTTGAATCCCAGCACTCAGGAGGGAGAGGCAGGTGGATCTCTGTGAACTTGAGGCCAGCCCAGTCTACAAACTGAGTTCCAGGACAGGCTCCAAAACTACAGAGAAACCCTGTCTTGGAAAAAAACAAAACAAAACAAAACAAAACCTGACTGCCTACTATGTACTAAACACTGGAGAAACACCAATATTAATGAAAGAGATAAAGGCATTGCCCTAACAGAACTAACTGTGGCAGGAGAGTTAGTGCAGCTCCATCTGAGATAGACTGTTGAGTTCTTCTTCTTCTTCTTTTTTTTTTAAGAACAGTAGGAAAAGCCTGGTAGTGGTGGCGCACACCTTTAATCCCAGCACTCAGGAGGCAGAGGCAGGCGGATCTCTGTGAGTTCGAGACCAGCCTAATCTACAAGAGCTAGTTCCAGGACAGCCTCTAAAGCTACAGAGAACTCCTGTCTCAAAAAACCAAAAAAAAAAAAAAAAAAAAAAAAAAAAAAAAAAAAAAAAAAAAAAAAAAAAAAGAACAGTAGGAAAAATCAATGTTATCTGTGGCCATGCCAGCCAAGTGTTCCTGATTTCATTTGGTGCTGGAAGTTAAGCAGGATGAGGGCTAGCTAGCATGTGGGTGGGAAAACAAGGCACTAAGTTGCTAATACTTGTTGACAGCATATGTCCCATAAAACATCCAAAGAAATAATCTGTTTGCTAAACACTTTTTTTTTTTTTGTCAGGGTCTCATACAGTCCAGGCTGCCTCCCACACACTATGTTGTCAAGGATAACCTTTCCTCTGACCTCCACCTCCTGAGGGTTGCTGTCACATGCACGTGAGGCCACGCCTGCCCACATGTGTGTGCAACATGTGCGTGACTGGTGCCCACAGGTCAAAAGATTCCCGTGGGACCTGAGTTACAGAGAGCTGGAAGCTACAAATACCCTTAACCTCTGAGCCAACTTTCCAGCTCTTGTTCTTAAATTATATATATAAAAAAATCCATTGACTAATTAATTTATTAGCTAACTAATTAGAGAAAATGTGTGTGTGTGTGTGTGTGTCACAGCTCATGACTGGAAGGAAGCCAGAGAACAAGTTACAAAGAGTCAGTTTTCGCCTTCCAGCATACGGGTCTTGGGAACCAAACTCAGGTGATTAGACTTAACACCACCTTTACCTGCAAGATGGTCTGGTTTATGTAGTACTGTCTTATGAACTCAGAGGCTTTGAGCCAATTAGGCAAGCATTCTATCAACTGAGTTACACCTCTAGACCCAAAAAACATTTTTGTCTATTTTCCTATTGATAAATGGTTTACAGGAACATTACCTACATATGAATTTTTGCTTTTTTTCCATGCCATTATTGCTTCCAACCTCCTATGATTACACAAATTACATACCTTTTGGTTATCTCATTCTTACACAAAGGACATTGTGAAGGCCCTTTCTTCTGGTTAAGAAGTTTCAGCATACAAAATCTATAAATTAGAAAGAAAGAAAAAAACAAACAAACAAACAAAAAAACCCCAAACCGAAAGCAATGTTATTTTATTTTGCAGAAAGAACCCCCAGGAAGATAATTTCATAAATGCCCTTAAGAGTCATTTAAAGAAAAAAAAAAAAAGAATCATTTAAAAGGTAATGACAGGTAAGTTACAATAATTTTTCAGTAATTATTTTTAGATTCTGCAGAAGCAGAAAATCAAACCACATAAGAAATGACCCATGAAAACTAAACTTACCTGCATATGACTTACTGTGATGATCAAATAAAACATTAAAAAATCAATGCAGCATATTTAATGATATAGTCATAATTATTTCATGCTGCATAATCAGATATAAATGCTTAAGTAGTTAATATAAAATGGTTGTATTAGTTTAAAAGCTCACCATCTAGGATATATGTACCTCTGAGAGCAAGCACTTACTCCCCGGAACTAAGTTAACAAAATCTTTGTGGCTCACTACAAAGCTACAGTAATTAAGATAATTTGATTCTGTAGGTTTGGTGGTTCACCTTTAATCCCAGCACCGGAGAGGCAGAGGGAGGCAAATCTATGAGTTCAAAACCATCCTGGTCTACAGTGTGAGTTCTAGGATAGCCAGGGCTACACAAAGAAAAACCTGTCTCAAAAACAAAAAACAAACAAACAAAAACCAAAATACCACCACCAACAAAAGATAATGTGGTTCTAGCAGAAGGACAGACACAACATCAGTGGAATAGATTAATAAGAGTCTGGAAATAAATCCCTATTCACTCTCAACACCTATACCAAGACGATTAAGTGTAAACAGAACAGCGTAACTTTTTTAAGGGCACCAGGACAACTGGATATCCATACGTAAAAGAATGAAGCTAAACTCCTTCGTGAGTACACGTGTGTGTATATGTGTGCAAACACCTAAGTGAAGGCCAGAGGTTGTTGTTGGATCTCTTACTCCAATTATTCTCCACCTTATTTTTTTGAGGCAGGGCCTCTTACTGAAACTGGAGCTTGTTGATTTGGCTATACTATGGCTGGCCAGCAATCCCCAGGGATTCTCCTGTCTCCACCTACCGAGCACTGGGATTACAGGTACATAACAGCCATGCTTAGCTTTTGAGTTCTGGGGATATAAAGGCCTCAGTTTAAGATGTTACATATTTGTCAAATGAGCCATTTCCCCACCTCAAAAGTCAGACTCTTATCTCACACCACACAGAAATGAACTCAAACGGTTCGTAGACTAGCAGTAGGGATGTGTCGGTCATAATTAAAGGAAGTGACTCATACACCCAACTAATGCTCATTAAACGCCTGGTACTACACCAGATGTAAGAGATTCAGTGCAAAGGCAAAATGAAATCCTTGCTGTTTTAAAGAACACAGTATTATGAAGAGTTGACCAGGAGTAAAAAGCAGATAGTGACATTAAAAAGAACCAAAAAGATTAAAGGAGTTGAGAAGTCATTAGTAATAGTGAGCCAGGAGACAAATGTAGGGCATGGCCAAGTCTTTTAACATATACTTCCTTTTTTTAAAGATTTTATTTATGTATTATGTATACAGTCTTCTGACTGCATGCAGGCAGTGGGTACCAGATCTCATTCAAGGCGGTTGTGAGCCACCATGTGGTTGCTGGGAATTGAACTCAGGACCTCTGGAAGAACAGTCAGTGCTCTTAACTGCTGAGCCATCTCTCCAGCCCAAACTTCCTTCTTTTTAAGTTATTTTTAAATGATTTATTCAGTACATTTAGGATAGGGCTGACACCAGCGTTTACAGGGTGCTGTTGTTGCTGACCCATGAGCTTCACTTCGAGGATTAAGTGGTAAGAATGGCACTCTCCTACGACAGCTCCCAGCCAGGTGTAGCTGCTGAGCACCTGTCGTGTGGTCAGGCTGCACTAAGGTATACTAAACTTGGGACAACACAGGCTTTTTGAGATTGTGTGATTCAGACTTTTTGTCACTGTAGCAAATTTCTAAGAGAAACAATTCAAAAGTGGTAATCGTTTTGGCTCACAATTTCAGTTCATGGCTGGCTGGCTCCAGTGTTTTGGGCCAAAGGGAAGCCAGAAATATCAAGGCAACTGGAAGGTATGGAATAGCAGGCAGACGGTATAGGGAGAGGAAAAGAACCACGGACAAGATCTAACTGCTAAAGGCATGCCCAGGTAGACTATTTCCTCAAATTAGCTCTATCTTAGATGGTCCCCATCATGTCCCAACAATGGCAATAAGGGGTCTGGAAAGATAGTAGTTAAGCGGTTGTCCTGTTCTTACAGAGGACCTGAGTTCAGTTCCCACTTCCCACAGATGACTCACAACTGGAACTTCTATTCCAGGGGCTTCTGGTTTCCATGGGCATCTGCACTCATGCACACATAACCCTCCATGATACTCTTGGGCAAACATAGTTAAAAAATATTTTTTAGGCCGGGTGTTGGTGGCGCACACCTTTAATCCCAGCACTCGGGAGGCAGATGGATCTCTGTGAGTTCGAGGCCAGCCTGGTCTCCAGAGGGAGTGCCAGGATAGGCTCCAAAGCTACACAGAGAAACGCTGTCTCGAAAAACAAAAACAAAAACAACAACAAAAAAAAACAAAAACAAAAACAAAATATTTTTTAAACAAACCAAAGGAACAGCTTGGTGGTGGGTGGTCTATGTCTTTAGTCCCAGCACTCGGAGACAGATCTTTGTGAGTTTGAGGACAGCCTGGCATACAAAGTGAGTTCCAGGACAGCCAGGGCTACATAGTGAAACCCTGTTTCAAAACAAACAAAAAACAAAACAAACAAACAAAAAACACCCACAAGAAAACAAAAGAAATAAAAAAATAAAGAAACTGATCTTACACAATATATAGTTTAACAAGCACTGATATGAAAGCCAACAACAACGAAAAAGAATTATTTCCATTATTACTTTCTCCCCTCCCCACCAAGACAAGGTTTCTCTGTGTAGACCAGGCTGGCCCCACAAGGATTCACATGTCTGAGTACCGGGATTAAAAGGCATGTCCAGCTCCTTTTTTTTTTTTAATGTGAACTTCTTAAAGCAGAATCATATAGCTATGTTGCCTTGGACCATGGCCAGGGAGAGGTGGCAGAAGAACCATCAGGAAACTTTTGGGAAAGTTTCTAAACCAGTGAGGTGACATGGAAGAGAGCAAAAGAAAGTGGGAATAAACCTATAGATCTTCATTGGGGAGAGAATGGGAAGAGAAAGAATTCAGAGAGAGAGGGCTGGAGAGATAGCTCGGTGGCTAAGTACAATTCTCAGGACCCACAGGACAACTCACAAGCAGCTGTAATTCCAGTCCCAGGGGATCCAACACCTTCTTGTGGCCTCCATGGGTACCAGGCATACACATGGAGCATGGTCATATAGGCAGGCCAAACACTCATACACAAAAAATAATAAAATCTCAAAGAAAAAGCTCTCTCTCTCTCTCTCTCTCTCTCTCTCTCTCTCTCTCTCCCTCCCTCCCTCCCTCTGAGACAGTGTCTTACTCTATAATCCAGGCTGGCCTGGAACTCACTATGTAGCCCAGGTGTGATGGGGAAGTCCTTCTGTGTATGTTTATCTTATTGGTTGTTGAATAAAGCACTGTTGGCCAATGGGGAAGCAAGATAAGTGGGACTAGGAGTAGAGGAAAATTCTGGAAAATGTAGGAAAAAGAAGCCTGGTGATCCAGGCAGGAAGTGACATAGCAGGCAGATTTCAGGATTTAAGCAAGGATAAGCAGGAAGTCGTTCTCTTGCTCTTCGTCTTCCTCCTGCTCTCCTCTCTACGGAGTCGCCATGTGATCCCGGGAAGAGGACCCCAGCGGAAGGTGTCCTTAATAAGATAAGTCTTATAAAATATATAGATTTGTGATCATTAAGACTGAGCTAGCATATAAGAAATCCCAGTCAACTGGCCAGCAGCACTATAAACTAATATAAGACTCTGTGTGTTATTCTGGGCGACCATGTGGCGGATGGAGTAAAGACTTACTGTTACACAGTTGTGATGGCTATTCTTGGTTATCAACTTAACTACACCTGGAACTAACTAAAACCCCAAAGCTAGGCACACTAGTGATTTTTTAATTCTCAGTTAAAACATTTGAAGTGGGAAGAGCTACCACTAACATGGTCCACACCTCCTGCCGACAGCCCATATAAAGGACACAGAAGGAACCTGTTCTCTTTGCTTCTCTGCTTGCTCTCAATAGCAAGTCCATGACTTCACTGGCATTAGAGCCTACTTTTTGGAGATTCTGGTGTACACTAAAGACCAGCTGAGACATCAAGCCTTGTGGACTCAAAAACTACTGGATTCTTGGACCTTTCATTGGTAAACAGCCATTGTTGGACTAGCCAATCAGTCATTCTAATAAATCCCTTTAGATGCAAACATATGTACATGATACATATATATCCACACCACACACACACACACACACACACACACACACACACACAGACACACACCACACTCACACACACACACACTCACACACACACACACACACACACTCACACACACACACACACACACACTCACACACACACACACACACACACTCACACACACACACACACACACACTCACACACACACACACACACACACTCACACACACACACACACACACACTCACACACACACACACACACACACTCACACACACACACACACACACACACACAGACACATACACACTCACACACACACACACACTCACACACACAGAGGGGGGGGGGATCCTCCTATCATTCCAAATGCACTCTTTCTGTTTCTTGTTCATTCAGATCTCTATCTTCACCAGCATCATGAAGCAGGCAAGCCTTGCCCCTTCTCAGTAGGAAAAGCAGGAATGAACAGAAAGGAAGAACTGGGAAAGCTGAACATAATTTGCTTATTTCACAGTTGCTTTTAGTCTACATTCACCCTTGGACACTAAAAGAAAACTAGACAGCTGTTCAAAGTGGCTTTACATGATTTTTTTTATGCACAGATAACCAATGTCAAAAATCAAGAACTATGGCCATGGCCAATACCTATGCTGAATTCATAGTACTCCCCAAGGAAGAATGACCAGTTTTGTTGCTGTTATTTAACTGAAGACACAAATGCCTGTATAAAGCTGTGTAATGAAGAACATGCACAAGAGCTAACCACGAATCTACGAAATTGTTCACTTACTTGCAAAATATGTGGTCACACTTTGTGGAAATGGGTTCTTTGATCAATTCCAAACTAGAGGAGTACAGGAACAAGAGAGAGAGAGAGAGAGAGAGAGAGAGAGAGAGAGAGAGAATAAATTAATTAAGTTGTTTATAAGCAATTTTTTTTCTTTTTTGGTAGCGGTTTATCTTTAAGATGCTGTAACTGAGTCTGAGTATACATTTAGGAGTGGTTCTCCACCTGGGGGTCAAATGACCCTTTCACAGGGTCACCTAAGACCATGGGAAAACATAAATATTTACATTATGATTCATAATAGTAGCAAAATTAGTTATTGGGTAGCAATGAAATAATTTTATGGTTGGGGGTTACCACAGCATGAGGAGCTATATTAAAGGCTTGCAGTATTAGCTTCCTAGTGAAGCTAATCTAGAACCACTGATCTAGGACCATTTTTTTCTTTTAACCATAGTGTATGCAGGGTTCAGTATTATCTGAGGTTTCAGACACTCACTAGGGATCTTGAAAAGTACCCCACCCATACATGTATGAAGTCTACTGTACATTTTTTTCTATTGCCTCACAGTATTTTAAAGTGTATTTATCAGGTAGTGGTGGCACACACCTTTAATCCTAGCACTTGGATAGCTGTCCTGGCTGTTCCAGAACTCACTCTATAGACCATGCTGGCCTTGAACTCACAGTGACCTGCTGGCCTCTGCCTCCTGAGTGCTGGGATTAAAGATATGTGCCACCATTGACTGCCTGGCTTGGAATTGCCTTTTTAAGAGAATATGAAAAAGTTCAAGCATTTGCATTGAAAATTAACTGCATATACTATCATACAGAAGGAGAAATGTGTTAAAAAGAAAACCAAGCAGGAGAAGAGGACACAGTGCAATAAACGCTGGTGGGCACACACAGAGTGGCAATCCATGCATGAATGAGGAAGTGGCAGTGGAGGACAGCTGAGTCCTGTAAGGAAACGAGCTGTGCAACAATTAGAAACAATTAGAAACAGGGCAGAGGAGCTAAGCTGAGCAGAACCATGTCTGTTTGCGTAAGGCCTCTGTGCTGAGATGGAATGATGGAGGCCTTCATCATGGAGAGAGGTGGCTGGAGCCCAGAAGGGCAGGAAACCTGCCTATTTTGTCCTTAGCTTTATTCTGCGAGAGCTACTCACACTGAGTTCTGGTGGCAAAGCCAATGTAAGACATTAAAGAGGTAACTCGCTGGTGTAAGAAAAATACAATTCTTTCATTAAATGTAGAGGGCTTAGAAACATAATTCTAGTGGTCATGGGGCTCCTGAAGATGCAGAAAGCAATGAACACACCTGACTAAGCCTGAAGGCTGGCTTATACTACCAGCTCTGTCTGTATGGGCAGAATAGCCTCAGGCCATGCTTTCTAACCTATCCTCAGTTTTCACCTTGGCAGTCATCTGGGGCCACTTCCAGAATACAAAATCAACAGAAAAGACTGATTTGTTACTAGATCACTATTTCTGACACAAGCTAGACACTAAAGAAAGTTCTTAGTAAAAGGGAAATTGGATTGAGTCATGATACCAGATGGCTTTCATTCTCACCACTGACTCAACTCTGAAATAATTATATTTCAGTATGGTAATTACGATCCAAGCTATATAAACACACTGTAAACACCAACTCTGAACAGATGAAAACTCCCATATGTAAAAAGGTAGTGACTGTTGAAGGAAGAGTTTGAAGATGAATAGGAATGAAAATGGGAAAAAAATGAAAATGTTTCTCTTCTAGCTTCTGATAAGAGTAAATGTTTACTATAAAATTCAAATGTTTCAAACACTTTTCATGCCACGGGGTATTTTCAGCCTACTGAGTATTTGTAGTTTGAGCTTTAACAGGATGAATCACTGGGGGAAAGTTAGGTTTAGGGTTGAAAAACACCAACAAACTACCAGGTACACATTTCAGCACATAAAAAATGTTCTATAGTGGGGCTGGAGAGATGGTTCAGAGGTTAAGAGCACTGACTGCTCTTCCAGAGGTCCTGAGTTCAATTCCCAGCAACCACATGGTGGCTCACAACCATCTGTTATAAGATCTGGTGCCCTCTTCTGGTGTGCAGATATACATGGAAGCAGAATGTTGTATACATAATGAATAAATAAAATCTTAAAAAAAAATGTACTATGGTAAAGAGTACCAATTACCACAAGCAACTGCCGATTGAGCTGGATGCATCAGTGCATGCTTGTGGGCTCAGCAGCCTGAGGAGGCTGAGGTGGGAAGACCACACAAGCACAGGACAGAGACATCACGAGACCCAATCTTCAAACTCCCACCCTGAAAAATAAAAATAAAGCTACTACTCCCAAATAACGTAGGGACAAAAGGAGTATCAGTGCAGAGACCTAAGAACTCAGGATCTACTCTACACCACTCCAAGAACAACTTCTTTTGTTTTACCTTTTCTGGTTGTTGTTTTCATTGAGACATGGTTTTTATGTAGCCCTGGCTGTCCTGGAATTTGCTCTGTAGAAGAGACTGGCCTCAACTTCAGAGATCCTCCTGCCTCTGCCTCCCAATCAATAGCTGAAACTAAATACTTCAAGTAACGTTTTTTTTGTCCAAATCACTTGTCATTAAGCACTAACTGCTCGGGCTGGGGTGTAACTGAGCAGTATAGTGTGCCTAGCACATATCAGGGCTTGGATTCAATTTCCATTAACACACAGGGAGCAGGGTTTGAATAACTAAAACTCATCCAGGCTGGGACTGTAGGTAGAATGCAGCACACCACAAAAAGGCCCTCAGTTCAATCCTATGAACTGCAAGAAAAACAACAAAGCAATAGGTTCAGCCCATTCTAGAACATTCTATACAGATGACCTTCAGCTTTAGAAATGACTGTAGTGGCCGGGCGTTGGTGGCGCATGCCTTTAATCCCAGCACTCAGGAGGCAGAGGCAGGCGGATCTCTGTGAGTTCGAGACCAGCCTGGTCTACAAGAGCTAGTTCCAGGACAGCCTATAAAGCCACAGAGAAACCCTGTCTCAAAAAAAAAAAAAAAGAAATGACTGTAGTGAACAATCTAGCTTAAACATTATTAAAATCACCAGCTTGTGGTGGTGCATGCCTTTAATCCCAGCACTCGAGAGGCAGAGGCAAGAGGATCTCTGTGAGGTCAAGGCCAGCCTGGTCTACAAAGTAAGTTCCAGTATAGCCAGAGCGGTTACACAGAGAAATCCTGTCTCAAAAAAAACCAAAAGAAAAGGAAGAAAAAAATATTATTAAAATCAAGCCTGATGCTGGGTGTTGGTGGCGCATGCCTTTAGTCCCAGAACTCGAGAGGCAGAGGCAGGTGGATCTCTGTAAGCTCTAGACCAGCCTGGTCTACAAAAGCTAGTTCCAGGACAGCCTCCAAAGCCACAGAAAAACCCTGTCTGGGGCGAGAATCAAGCCTGACATGGTGGCATACACATTTAATTCCAGTGCTGAAAGGCAGAGGCAGGGGGATCTCTGAGAATTGGAGGCCAGCCTCGTCTACACAGTGAGTTCCAGGACAGCCAGAGCTACACAGTGAGACACTATATAAAAAAATAAATAAATAGATAGATAGATAAATAAATAAATAGATAGCCTAAAGCTTACAGGTGCATACCTCTAATTCCAGTTTTTGGAGGCTGAGGTGGGAGGACAAAGACCTTGGAGGCCCATCTCAAGGAAAAGAACAAGAAAGTGCAACAAGCAGCTGGGAAAGCCAAGAAACTGAAAAGAAAATGTAGCAGTAACTTTCTTTCTTGCATCTTTCATTTCTATGTATCTGAATTTTTAACTGATGGTTTAATTTGCTAGAATGAGAAAGAACATTACATTTTTATGACTCAGTCCCATGGGAATGTAAAATAAATAGACCCAAATGCCACATTATTGAAGACTTTTTGATCACTGTTTGTAATTATCCCCAGTAAGTTTAGGCTTTTCAAAAACAATCTTTCTCTTGTGATGTTATTTCTGCCTCTGTAGCTCTGATAGTTCATGGATTTGGCTCTCATTAGGTCTTGTTTTTGTTTAGCTGAGGGCAGAGAGGCTAGCACTTTTCATACCTCATCTCTGAAGACACTTGCATCTTCCTTGATCTTGTTAGCTTGTCTCCAAACATAAGTAACAACCCCATGAAGCACAGAGGCAAATTTACTTGAATTTACCCATCAAAGGTTAATTAAAAACAAGAAAGAAAACAAAACAAAAAAGTACAACTGGGGGTTGGAGAGAGATGGCTCAGCAGTTAAGAGCACTGGCTGCTCTCGCAGAGGACAGGTTCAATTCTCAGCACCCACATGGCAGCTCAACATCTGATGCCCTCTTCTGGTGGCAGGCCTACATGTGGAGGCTCCTGATTGGTGCTCGCTGTCTTCCCTGCTTTCCACCTTCTACACTTAGTAGGGTCTGTCACTTGAACCTAGAGCTCACTAGTGTGGCTAGTCTAGCTAGCCGGCTTGCTCTGAGCATCCTGTGTCTGTGTGCCAAGCACTAGGATTCTAGTATGTTGCCACACCCACCTAGCATTTAGGTAGACAGATGCTCTGGATCCAAACTCCAGTCTTTGTGCTTTCATGGCAAAAGCTTTACTCACTGAGACATCTCCTCAGCCCTCTACTTCTGAATGCTCTGCCCTAATAACAATGTTTTTTTTTTTTTTTTTTTTTTTTTTTTTTTTTTTTTAAAACTGTAATCCTAGTAGAGGCAGACAGGACTCTGTGAATTCAAGATCAGTGCTGTCCACACAGTGAGACCCTATCCAGGAAAACAAACAAATAAATAAATTTGGGCTGGATATAGTTCAGGGATAGAGCACACACATAGCATTCAAGATTCCCCAACTGAATCCTCAGCACCAAAATAAATATATAACTATTAAGAACTAATTTAGGCAGGGTGTGAAGAAACAAGCATTTAATCCCAGCACTTAAGAGGCAGAGGCAGGTGGATCTCTGTGAGTTCAAGGCCAGCCTGGTCTATGCAGTGAATTCCAGGACAACCAGAGCTACACAGTAAGAGCCTGTATTGGGAAAAAAACAAAACAAAAACAAAAACAAAAAGCAAAAATAATTTTTAAAAAGGGGAAAAACCAACTTACTTAGGTTATTGAGTACCTACTATATTATAGATACTGACTACTAAAGATAACATAAACTTCTATCCTCAAAAGAAATTTATAGGGACTGGAGAGATGGCTCAGCGGTTAAGAGTACCGACTGCTCTTCCAAAGGACCTGGGTTCAATCTCAGCACCCACGTGGCAGCTCACAACTGTCTGTAACTCCAAGATCTGATACCCTCACACAGACATACATACAAGCAATGTACATAAGTTAAAAAATAAAGAAAGAAAAAGAAAGAAATTTATATTCTTCAGGGAAGGAGAAAGAAGATGAAAAATTATACAGTATGTCATGTAGCAACAAAGGATATAAAGAAAAAAATAAAGGATCCATGTCTGTAAGAAGTTGGTTTAAAAAAAAGAAGTCTGGTTGAGGTGCTTCAAGCTTTTACTCCCAGCAGAAGCAGGTGGATCTCTGTGAGTGCCAGGCCAAACTGGTGTATGTAGTGAGCTCTAGGGCAGTTAGGGTTACATAAAAAGAGAGAAAGAGAGAAAAGGGAGGGCTAGAAAGATGACACAGTAGTTAAGAACATTTGCTGTTCCTGTGGAGGGACCAGGATTTGGTTCCCAGCACCCATGCTGAGTGGCTCACAACAGCCTTCAGCTCCAAGGGCTCTGGCACCCTTTTAAGGCTTCTGTGGGCACTCACACACATGGCATTTATATACAGAACACACACATAAAAACAAATAATTTTATGAAGGAAAAGAAAAATCAGGAAAGGATAAATATGAAGTGTGTGGGGATTGTTTAAATTTCACACAGGACAATTCTATAGAGTAAGTTTCAGGACAGCCAGGGCTACACACAGAAAAACAAACAAAAAGAAAGAAAACATGATATGTGAATCAGATTTTCTTTCATTTTCATAAAATGCAATGTTTTTCTTTCTACATGTCTCTGTGTGTATGCACATACAAATATGAAGATGCCTGCAGAGACCAGAGAGGGCATTGGATTCCCTGGAGCTGAAGTTTTAAATGATTGTGAACTACCTACCCAATTAGAATGCCAGGAATTGAAGTCCTGTACCCCAAATGAGCAGCTAGCACTCTTAACCACCAAGCCTCATCAATCAAGCCACAAGAATCAAGATTTTCTGGCAAACTGTGGTGGTACTAGCTCACCTTTAATCCCAGCACTCAGGAGGCAGAGGCAGGCAGTTCTCTGTGAGTTTGAGGCCAGCCTGGTCTACAGAGTGAGTTCTCGGACAGCTAGAGCTGTTACACAGAGAAACCCTGTCTCAAAAAAAAAAAAAAAAAAAAAAAAAAAAAAAGAATCAAGAATTTTCAAACCAGGTATGGCCCAAAGGCAGAAGTGGGACATTAGGTTGCACATTCTAAGAACAGTTAAGAAAAAACTAGGGGGGGCTGGAGAGATGGCTTTGAGCTTAAGAGCACTGACTTCTCTTCCAGAGGTCCTGAGTTCAATTCCCAGCAACCACATGGTGGCTCACAACCACCTTGAATGAGATCTGGTGCCCTCTGCAGAAGACTGCATACAAAATAAATAAATAAAATAAAATAAAATAAGGAAAGAAAAGAAAAAAAACTAGGTTAATTTGGATGGTGGTGGCACAAACCTTTAATCCTAGTATTTGGGAGGCAGAGGCAGGTGGATCTCTTTTGAGTTCCAGGACAGGCTCCAAAGCTATAGAAAAACCCTGTCTCAAACACCGCCTACCAAAAAACAAAAGCTGGGCCATGCGCTATACATCTAAATAATTTCTGCACAGAATGAGAACGGGAGAAGGGAAACAATTCTAATTTTCATTCCCAGCTATTTACCAAGAGATTCTGGGGGCCAGAGAGATGGCTCCATGGTTAAGAGCACTGGCTGTGCTTTCAGAGGTCCTAAGTTCAATTCCCAGCAACTGCATGGTGGCTCGCAACTATCTGTAATGGGATCTGATGCCCTCTTCTGTCTTACAGGAATACATGCAAACAGGGCACTCACATACATAAAATACATAAATAAACAAATCTTTAAAAGAGATTATGATGTGGATTTTTATTTATTTTATGTATCTGAGAAACCATTGTATGAGTGCTTAGGGTTCTTTTTTAAAAACAGATTTACTTTATTTTGGTTTTTGAGACAGGGTCTCACTGTGTTGTCCTGATTAGCCAGGAAACTTGCTTTGCAGGTCAAAAGGGCCTTGAACAGTGATCAACATGCCTCTACCACCCAAGTTCTGGGATTAAAGGCATGTGCCACCATACCCAGCCCAAGATTTATTTTGAATTGTGTGTATTTGTGTATTACTATGTGGAGGTTTGTACTAGTGAGTGAAGATACCCATGGAGGTGACAAGAGGGTATCAGATTCTCAGGAATTATTTATAGGTGGTTATCAGCCACCTAACATGGGTACTAGGAAAGTGAATTTGAGGCTTCTGAAAGCACAGTATAGACCCTTAACCATGAACCATCTCTCCAGCACTAGCTTAGGCTTTTTAACATTGGTTACGCAGGTACCCTCTTTTCAGTATCATTTATTCGTGGTGCTGAAAACTTAACTTGGAGCCTAAAGCATGCTGATTAAGTTATTCTACTTCCAAAGTAGACATCCAGCCTGAGTTAAAAAAAAAAAAAAGGAAACAGGGTCATCTGTATCCCAGGCAAGGATGACTTTGAATTACTAATCCTCCTGCCTCTACCTTCTGAGGGGATTACAGATATCTACCACCAGGCCTAATTTATGAAGTGACAGGAACTGAACCCAGGGTTTCCTATGTGCTAGGTAGGCCACTCTCCTGAGCTATATTCCGAGCCGTAGTGCATAAAATTTTGAAAATTACAAAATTATACACCAAAACCAAACTTGCAAAGGTCCTAGGTCTGAAAAATAGGAACTTTGGAGTATACAAGGGAACACTCTAGGGAATACAAGTGTTTCTATCCTGAATGGGGATAGAGTCACACAGATAAACACTGGTCAAAATTCATTCTTTTAGCCAGATGTGGTAGTATAAGCCTATGATCCTACCATTCAAGAGGTAGAAGCATGAAGATTTGAGTTCAAAACCAGCCTAGGCTAGATAGTGAGCTTGAGGCCAATTTGGGCTGTATAGTATAGCCTGTCTATAAAAAAAAAAAAAAAAAAAGCGAGAATGTGGATAGTTGATTAGACCTCTCTTCATTTCATAGAAAAGCTCATTAGGGATTAGACTTGCCAAAAGCTTTGAGGACTGGTGGCATTCTCACTTAAATTCAAAGGGACAGTTTCAGCCAGAGACAGATGCTCTCACAGACAACAAACACTTAGGGTCATTCGAAGAGATTGGGTTGGTCCACCAGCTGGAAGAAGAGCCTAAGTGCCACTTACTCTAACCAGAATCCTGCCCCAAGGAAGAACAAATCAAAATAAGACAATTTTTATTCGGGAAAAGGGGAAGGCGGGATGACAGGTGAAGATTACTTTTCTATATTTTTAAAACTCTTCAGTTATGAAAAATACAAAGTCGTTTTGATATCAACAGATTTTTTTCTCTCTACTACTCGAAGCCACGTCTACTCATTTGCTTGAAAGATAATCATACAAAGGTTCTCACATTAATAATCTCTTTCATTGACTTACCAGATTGGACACTCCAGGATTTTCTGCATAGCATGAAGGACATTTTGTACTTCTTCGATTTGAACAGCAGATAAATCCATTTCTTCCAGGTATGGTGAACTTTAACAAAAATTTAAAAAACATGTAATTAAACAACTTTAAAAGGCTTTTAAATACAGTTGTTTACCTGACAATTTTCTTTTCTTTTTTTCTTTTTTTGATTTTTCAAGACAGGGTTTCTCTGTGTGGCTTTGGAGCCTGTCCTGGAACTAGCTCTTGTAGACCAGGCTGGTCTCGAACTCAATCCTCCTGCCTGTGCCTCCCAAGTGCTGGGATTAAAAGTGTGCACTACTACCTGGCCTTTTTTCTCTTTTTAAAGATTTATTTATTAATTATGAATATGGTGTTATGCCTGCAAGTCATATGGGTGCTGGGAATTGAACTCAGGACCTCTGGAAGAGCAGCCAGTGCTCTTAAACTCTGAGCCATCTCTGCAGCTCCTTCTTTTCTTTTTTGAGGTAAGATCCCATATAACCCACACAGGCTTTGTATTTTCAAGTACTCAAGGCTATTCTTACCCCTGATCCTTCCACCTCCACCCCCTTACTGCTGGAGTTACTGGGGGAAAGTCATCCCTACCCAACCTTTTTTTTTGGGGGGGGGTTCTCACTCTGTAGCCCACACAAGCCTGAAAATCACTATGCAGCTCAGATTAGCCTCCAACGTGTAGCAATCCTCCTGCCTCAGCCTCCTGAGTGTTGGGGTTATAGGTGCTAAGTTACTACACCTCGTTTGTCATTCTAAATAAGAGTTTGCTTTAGAATTATACCAACTATAGAGCTGAAAAAACAAATCTTCATGAAAAAAAATCTCAGGGTCTGGAGAGATGGCTCAGTGGTTAAAAGGATGTACCTCTCCTCCAGAGGACCAGAATTCAATTCCCAGCATCTATGCCAGGTGTCTGGACGTCTAGATCCAGGCCAGAACCCATGCAAACACATGCACATAATTAAAAAAAAAAAAAGAATCTTTAAAAAAATAAGAAAAATTCTAGTAGTTGCTCTTTGTAGTATTTAGCCTCTAAAGCCTTCCTTGGTCTTTCCTTTCTCCAAGAAAAGGAAAGCTACAGTGGCGTGCCTGGATAGAAGCGGTAGCTATGAACTTTCTCCAGAGTCCCAGTTTTCTTTGTCTTGCTTAAAATCAAAGCCAAGTAGGGCACAGTGGCACCCTACCTATAGTCCCAGGAAAATGGAGAAGTTGAAGGATGGCTTGGTCTCAAAAGTTCAGCAGTCTTCCTGGACTAGACAGGAAGACCAAAGTCAGTCAGCTATGGTGGTGCAAACCTGTACTCCCAACATTCTGGAGGTGCAGGCAGGAGGCTGAAGAGTTCTAGGTCACCTTGAGCTACATAAGGAGGAGCTCAAGGCCAACCCGAGTACATAAGACCGGTCCTCAAAAACTCCCAAACTAATGGGCATGGTAGAGGAGGCCTTTTAACTCCTCCTCCTCGGAGGCAGGGGCAGGTGGATGAGTTCGAGGCCAGCCTGCTCTACATATTCAGTTCCAAGCCAGTCAGAGCTACATAATGAGACTCTATCTCAGAAACTAACCAAAACAAAACAAAACAAAACTTCTCTTTATGCCATCCTAGAGCCCTCATCCAGTGGCTGTTAGACCCCCGAAAACCCAAGTTTCCGGGGGTCCCAGGCCAGGTTCGCGGTCACCCCAATCACCAGGCGGATTCGAGAGCTTGCTGCAAACTGCACGAGGCTTTATTGTAATTTAACGAGCTAACCCCATGTAAGCTCGGGTCTTTCACCCACCCGCCATGGCGGACGGCTAGAAAAGACGGCTCCTTGGGTCTCCCAAAAGATCTTATAGGGCAGCGTAAGGGGAGTGTCTAGGGGTACGCACAGGCTTACGCACAGGCTCATGATTGGTGTGCTTCCAGGCTTGGAGGGCTTGCCCTGTGTTGATTGGTCAACTGGTTGTTATGGCTCATAGGCCCTCCCAGGGTGGTTGCTATGCTCTCTACGTCATTGTCGTGCGCTTGTCCGTAAAGCACACCCAGGGTCGTAAAGTGCCACCAGGTAACTTCTGATTGGCTCCTTGTCACAAGGCATCTGACCTTTTAGTGACTAAGGTTCCTTGTCACGAGACAGGCATCTGACCTCTAAGTGACCAAGGCAGGTTTATGGCAAGCACGTGTTCGGCTGTTATGGCTGCCAAAAGGGAAGCCGGTTCCTTCAGTTTGTTTGCTGGTTTTCATTTTTCCACATGAATGAGGTTTGAAACTTTTCTGGCAATTGAGAATATGCTTACGGGGGTTGCCATCTCAACCACGTGGGCTAGGCTGGGGGCCGCCATCTTGGTCATAACCAGGTGACCTAGCTTAGGCCTGCCCACTCAGTTCAGTGA